GCCAGCGCCTGCTGCGCTTTCTGCGGGCGCGGCGCTGGGACCCGGCCGCAGCCAGGGAGCAGCTCGAGGATGTCGCATCCTTCAGATCGCCACATCTCCGACGATACGATTTTTCAATCCGAGAGTTTTTCTTGGATTTCGGCCTCAGGGGCCTGTTTTCGGGTCCTGGGAGTATCAAAAACGATTCCAGAACAAAAAGCTTTCATGGGGGTCGGGAGTTCGGGAGCCGCAGATAGTAAAAGTCCAATCGGCGGATGGGTCCCCAGGCAGTGCCAAGGGGGATCCTCACGGGGTTGATCGCCAGCTCTTCCGGGGGCGAACAACATATCCGTATCCGCAGCCTCGCGGGCTGGGCCCCTGGGCCGCGACCCTGCGGATACGGGGCGTTTTCTCGTAGATGCCCCTCGCGGAACGTATCCGTGCGACCGCGTACATGTGGGATCGTGCCCCAGAATCCAGACCGCGAGGGCGCGGATACGGATATGTTCGCCGCTCGTGACTCTTCGTGCGTCATCGATGTCGTCGTTGTCGCCGCCGCCGTCGTCGTCGTCGTCGTCGTCGTCGTCGTCGTCGTCGTCGTCGTCGTCGTCGATGTCGTCGTCGTTGTCGTCGTCGTCGTCGTCGTCGTCGTCGTCGTCCTCGTCGTCGACGAGCGTTTGGAGATCCGAGAATGGTTTTTGGACGATCCTGTGCGCTCTTAGAGGGCATAGGGATTTAGAGGGTCTCGGGGAGGTCCAGCTCCTGGAGACTGTGGCGACACCCCCTGGTGGCGACTGTCCCTGACATTGCCTATGGTATGCTCATGCAGCGATGGCGCGCCAGCGACGCGGGCGAAGGCGTTCAGGGTTGAAGTCTGTGGCGCGGAAGCACCGAGGGTCGCGGTGACGCCACAGGGTCTGGCGGAATTCAACCTGGAATGATCGGGGCCGCGATCAATTCAAGGTTGAACGATCGACGCGGTGTCGAAAACCTCTGCGCGCGCCGATGCTGCACGAACCTACGATAAGGGTTTAAGTAGGGGTCGCAACAGAATTTGCGACGTTGGTTCTTTTATGTTTTCAGTTGGCGCCGGTTGAGGGTCAGAGGTGGCCCCTCCTTGGTTTCGGCGAGCCGGAAGTGTTGTTCGTTGTGGGTCCAAGGAGTTTTTGTTTTTTTTCGGCCCCTGCGGGCGGTTTTCGAGGTCCGGGACATGGGAGGAAAAGCTGCACCACATGGGCCTTGGGAGGGATTCGGGGACCGATTTTGAGCGGATTTGGTTTCATCCCCTCCTCCTGACCGATTTTCTGGGGTTCCGCCTTCAAATTCCAGGCATTCGGATGAGCTTTTGTCAAGGACTTCCGAGCAACTTGTGCAAATGCGGCGCCCTCGACACTCAGGAACACCGCTATCGCTTTGGACTTCCTCATGATTTACTCGAGAATCGCGTCATCGCCGGAGCTGTCCTCGCGCTCCATGCAGGACTGACGCTTCGTCGACCCCCCGCTCGACACGGCCGTCTGGGCCGGTCTAAACTCGCGCTCTCCTTCAGAGCTTCTCTACAGTTTGCGCAGGGGTCGTGCTCTCGCCCAGGACCCCCCTGCAGATTTCTGCGGTGCTGCGCCCTCGATGCCCAGGAGTCGCGCTCTCGCACGATACTTCCTTCGCAATTGACGCGAGCCTCGTGCTCTCGCCTGAGGCTCCTCGCAAGCTGCGAAGTTCGCTTCGATGCCCTGCCCGCCAGACCCGTCCGTTAGGATCCGCCCGCCCGTCCGCTTGAATGTCCAGCTCCCCCGACCCGCCCGTTGGGGTCCGCCGCCCGAACCGCCCGTTACGGCTTGCCTGCCCGCCAGGGTTGCCTTGCCAGTCATTTTTCTTCTCGCCCCCCCCGATGATGATGATGATGATGATGATGATGATGATGATGATGATGATGATGATGATGATGATGATGATGATGATGATGATGATGATGATGATGATGATGATGATGATGATGATGATGATGATGATGATGATGATGATGATGATGATGATGATGATGCTGATGCTGATGCTGATGATGATGCTGATGATGATGCCGATGATGATGCTGATGCTGATGCTGATGCTGATGCTGATGCTGATGCTGATGCTGCTGATGATGATGATGACGCTGATGATGCTGATGATGATGATGGTGATGATGATGATGATGCTGATGCTGATGCTGATGATGATGCTGATGATGATGGTGGGGATGCCGATGATGATGCTGATGCTGATGCTGATGCTGATGCTGATGCTGATGCTGCTGATGATGATGATGACGCTGATGATGCTGATGATGATGATGGTGGTGGTGATGATGATCCAGATGATGCCGCTGCTGCTTCTGCTCTTGGTGCTGCTGATGATGATGCTGCTGATGCTGCTGATGATGATCCAGATGAGGATGATGATGCTGATGATGATGATGCTGGTGATGATGATGATGCTGTTGATAATGATTATGATGATGCTGCTGCTGCTTCTGCTGCTGCTCTTCTTGCTGCTGCTGATGATGATGGTGATGCTGATGCTGTTGCTGCCGCCGATGATGCTGATGATGCTGAAGATGGTGGTGGTGTTGTTGATGCTGATGCTGCTGATGATGATGCTGATGATGCTGCTGCTGCTGATGATGATGATGGTGGTGGTGATGATGATGATGATGATGATGATGACGATGATGATGATATGTTCTTCCAGTGCGCTCGGCGGCACGAGCTGGTGACATATAAGGTTAAGTTCGGGCGGCACTCGCCTACGCCGCTCAGTAGCCTCGCTTGGGAAGCGCGTTCGCTCTTAAATTGCCATGGGAGCGTTGCTTGTTTCAAAGGTGTGTTGCCACCTCGAAGAGTTAGAAGAGTTGCTACCTCCATCCAGCTATTTCTCTTCGCCCTCAATCTTTCTCCAGTCTTCTTGGCTCCCCTCCTTTCTGGGTTCTTCCTTCTTTCCTCGCCCTTTCCCTGGGCCGCGCCAACTACCCGTGGCAGGCAAGGAATGCGTGCATCCCAAAAGGGAACGATCAAAGACGACGTTCGGGGTGGAAGGGTATCGAGGGTTTGGGGTACAGATACCTGTTACATGACACGCGGGCATCGACTTATGGACAGTTTTCATATTACGGTTGTGGTTGCTGTTGCTGTCATCGTCGTTGCTGTTTTTTGGAACATTTTCACGTTACGTATTTTTATATCTGTATGCATGCATCTGCATATGAATGTATGGATGGATGTGTGTATACGTGCTTGTAATCAAGTAGGCATGCATGCGTGCATGCAGATGTATGTATCGAGGTATACTGATATATCCAGCTGCCTGCGCCAAGCCCCAAGCCCCGCCACCGTGCTAGCCCAGCATGCTCGGCGGCTCTCCTTCGAGGGGGCACCGGACGCCGTACTCGCGAGGTGTGAGCACCATGATGACGCTGATGATGTTGATTTTGATGCTGCTGATGATGATGACGGTGATGATGCCGATGGTACAGATGAGAATGCTGATGCGGATGCTGCTTCTGGTGATGATGCTGATGCTGCTGCTGACGATGATGCTGCTGATGATGATGGCGATGATGATTGTGACGATGCTGATGCTGGTGACGATGACGATGATGAGGATGGTGATGATGTGGTTGACGATGATGACGACGATTGCGATGCTGATGATGATGATGATGATGATGCTGGTGATGATGATGATGCTGCTGCTGGTGATGATGTGACGGTGATGGTGAGGGTAATGATGATGATGCTGATGCTGATGCTGATGCTGATGCTGCTGATGATGCTGAGGATGCTGATGATGATGGTGCTACGTATGCTGCTGATGCTGATGCTGATAATGCTGATGCCGTTGCTGCGGATGCTGATGATGATGCTGATGATGATGATGATGATGATAATGATGATGATGGTGATGATGATGATGCTGATGCTGATGATGCTGATGCTGTTGATACTGATGCTGAGGAGGATGACGACGATGCTACTGATGATGACGATATTTGTGACGATGCTGATGCTGATGCTGATGCTGCTGCTGATAATGTGATGACGATGACGAGGATGATGACGACCTGTATCTGCTGATGATGATGTTGGTGGTGGTGGTGAGGATGATAATGCTACTGCTGATGACGATGCTAATGCTAGTAATGATACTGATGTTGATGACGATGATGATGACGATGACAGTGATGATGATGCTGATGATTATGATGATGCTACCGATGATGATGATGATGATGAGGATGATGATGATGAAGCTGATGCTGATGATGATGATGACGATGATGATGATGATGATGATGATGAGGATGCCGATGATGATGCTGATGCTGATGCTGATGCTGATGCTGATGCTGATGATGCTGATGATGATGATGCTGATGATGCTGATGATGATGATGATGCTTGTGATGATGTTGATAGTGATGATGATGATGATGATGATGATGATGATGATGATGAGCTGCTGAGGCTGAGGCTGAGGCTGAGGCTGAGGCTGAGGCTGCTGCTGATGATGATGCTACTGCTGATGATGATGATGATGATTCGGATGATGATTCGGATGATGATGATGACGATGATGCTGATGATGATGCTGATGACGATGATGATGATGATGATGATGATGATGATGATGATGATGGTGATGCTGATGATGAGGATGATGATGATGATGATGATGATGATGATGATGATGATGATGATGATGATGATGATGATGATTCTGATGATGATGATGATGATGATGATGATGATGATGATGATGATGATGATGATGATGATGATGATGATGATGATGATGATGATGATGATGATGATGATGATGATGATGATGATGATGATGATGATGATGATGATGATGATGATGATGATGATGATGAGTAGGAGGGAGAGGAGAAGGAAGAGGAGGAAGAAGAGGATGATGAGGAGGAGGAGCAGGAAGAGGAGGATGGATGAAGAGGGCAAGGCGGAGGAGGAGGCGGAGGAGGAGGAGGGCCCAGACCTCGGGGCGCGTCCAGAGGCCGAGCAGCGCTGGCGCGAGGAGGGCGACGTGGACCGCGTGCGGCGGCTGGCGCCAGGCCCCCTGGGGGCCGAGGTGGCGAGGGCGGCCGCCTGCGACCCGCGCCTCTCGGAGGGCGGCGTGGAGCTCGACGGCGAAAGCACGGCGTGCGGCCGGGAAGTGTGGCCCAGCGTGGCCCAGACCCGTGCGCGCCTCTCCGCGGTGCTCGCCTCTCCGCGGTGCTGCCGCGCGGGCTGGCACGCCGCCGTTCCCTGCCCCCACCCCGCCGCCGCTCCAGAGGGCCTGCTCCGCCCCCCCGCCCTGCCTCGGCCCGCGTGCTCGCCTCCGCCTCCGGGCGGCCTCCCCGCCCAGGCGTCCCTCGGGCCGGACGAAAAGGGGGGGATTGGGAAAGGGGGGGTTACGAAATCTGCTGCATGCAGCTGGTTTCGGCCCCACCGAGGGGCCCATTCCTCGATACATGGGCGCCTCCGGCGCCGGGAGGCGCCGGGAAAATCAGCTACGTGAGCTGATTCTCAACCCCCCTTTTTGCTATCCCCCCCTTTCGCCCAGCCCGAGCCCTGAGATTTTGGTGTGGCAATTTTTTCCCAACGGGCGTTTTCGCACGGTTTCGGGCTCTGGGGCCCTCGCAGATCCATGCGGTTCGATGGGGCCCAGGGCTCTGGTTTCGATTTTCACGATGGTTCAATTTTGCCGAGGCGTCGGATCTCAGGGCACGCTCGCGTCGTGAATAAATCAGTGCGGTCGCCGTTTTCGGCTTCTGGGGTCCCTGAAAGACCGGCTCAGGGCGAAAAACCGGTCCTGGGGAAAGGGTCGGGACTTCCCGGCACCGCGCAGTGAACAAATCAGGATAGGGCTCAGGGCATGTCTAGGTGAGCGTGGCGCTCCGCAGGCTCTGGCCCACCGCGTCCCGGCGCGACGCGCTATCCGCGTCCCAGCCCCCAGCCGTCAACGTCCCGAGCGTTTCCCAGCCCCCCGCCCCGCGGAGCGGAGCGCCACGCCATCTGCTCGCAGGGCAAAGCGTGTCTCCAGGACCGCCGCCGCGACACGCTAGGCACAATGTTTCGACCGGAAACGCAAACTTTCGGAGCTCCGCGCGGACTACTCGAATTTGCGCTGGGCCCCCTGACGGCGCCTCCCGCGCCGCCCCTGGCGCGCTCCACGCGCTGAGGAGGGGGCCCAGCGCCGATCCAAGGCATCTGCGCGGACCTCCGAAGTTTATGCTTATGCAGTTTTTCCTTTCTCTGCAGGAGTGCTTCCCCGAGCTGCGGCTGGTCGAACCGCTCGACATGGAGGGGGTCTGGAGGCGCCTCGGCTTGATCCTGAGATCTGGGCGTTGCGATTTGTTATCGCAACGGGCGTTTTCGCCAGGTTTCTGGAAATGTTTTTCTGCGATGCCACCGGCCCGCGTCCTCCTCCTCTTCGGTCGTCGCTTCATCGTCTCCTCCCCCCTGTTGCATGGTGGCCCAATTTGCTTAATGGCAGCTCCGTTTTTCTTCCTCGCCCGCGCACCGACTCTGCCTAGGCGCCGACGCAGAACAGTTTTTCCGCGAGGCTGCGATTTTTCCGCGACGTCGGATCTCGGGGGCGGTCGCCACGGGGCAGCGAACATGCCAGCAGCCGTGTCCTCGCGGTCTGCCACCTCTGGTCGCCCGGAGCGCGCGGGAGGTGCCCCCAGGGGTCTCCCGCGCCGATTTTCAAGAAATCCATGCGAGCCCATGTTTATGCTCATGCCACTTTTTCCCAGACGTGATCGCGTCGTCAGAAAAAACAGCACGGGAAGTTTTTGGCCAATTTCGGCCTCGGTGGGCCCTCGCCGGGCCTCGGGACCGCCGAAAAACGACTTCGGATGAGAAGCCGGTCCCGGGGAAAGGGTTGGGACTTCCACGCACCCCGCATCGAAAAAGTCAGGCCCTCGCATGTCTGGGTGGTGTTCCTCGAGAGAGGTCGGCGGCGAGCCCGAGGAGGAGGTGAGTGGGGGCAGGCCCGCTCAGACGCCCTCGCGTCCTCTTGGGGGGCCCGCCCGCCCCCCCTGGTCGGCCACGCGCAGAGTGGGTTAGGGGGGGAGGGGGGAAGGCTTCTTGGCAGCACCGCGGCTTCTCAGAAGGCGCGGGCCTTGTCTGCAGAGGCGGGGCCCGTGCCTCGTGAGAAGCAGCCTCCTTCTGAGCAGCCTTCCTGCCTCCCCCTGTCCCCCGCTGCGCGCCGCCAGCCTGGGCTCGCCGCGGACACGGGGCGCGATCCCGTGGGGGAGTACGCGATCCCCAGGGTGCGCTCTGCGGAGGGCCTCCGGGGCGGAGACGCCCTGCATATCCATGGGGTCGGGGGAGTCCAGGCCGCCAAGCCGGGGGCGGGAGCGCGCCTCTTGCCCTCGCCATTGGGGGGGGGCGGAAACGGGTCCCGAGGGAAGCGGGTCCCGAGGTTTGTCGCCGTCTTCGGGCTCCCGGGGCTCGCCACGGGCCCCAGGAGTGTCAGAGAAGAACGACTCAGGATGAAGCGCTGGTCCGAGGGGGAATGCCCTGGGTCCAGGACCCGTTTCACTCAGGGCCCGTTCCCCCCATGCCGATGCTCGCGAGGCGCCTCAGCCCGGTCGCCTACTTCGGCCACGACCGCATCGGGCGCCCGATCTTTCTTCGGGGCCCCGTGGGCGGGGACTCTCTGTGATAAGCCCGGACATTGGCGCACCCTTCCCCTTCCCCTTCCCCTTCCCCTTCCCCTTCCCCTTCCCCTTCCCCTTCCCTTTCCCCTCTCCTCCTTCCCCTCTCCTCCCTCCCTTTCCCTGCCTTCCCCCCCGCCCCTTCCTCCTCAAGCATCTGGGCTCAGACCGTTTTGGCAGGAGCCCACACCCTGCGCCGCCACGAGGTGCCCGAGGGGCGCACAGCCTCCTGGCCACCTTTCGGCCAGGCCTTCTGCGCGGCGAAAGCAGGTCATCTTCACTTTACACTGTGCCTCCGTTTCCCCCCGTGTCTTTCAGCCATGAGAGGTACGGCATGCACGTGCGCGGGATGCCACGCTCACGAGCGGAATCATGTGTTGCAGGCGCAGGGGAACACATGTTCAAAAAGCCATCGGCGGGTCAAGAGATGCAAGCCCAAGCGAAAGCATCAGGAGGTGTCTGGTCTAGTCTTGGGATTGGGAAGCTCTCAGAAGGAGGTTGCCCCGTTCCTCGAGGTTCTGACGCAAGCCTTGGGCGTGACAACGGACCCTTTTCTTCGTCATGCTCTTCAGGCTGCCATCCAGCAACATTCGGCATCGCCCCAGTCAGCGTCTATGCTGGGAGCAGAAACGGTACGGAGGGCGGAGGCAGCACCACCAAGCGATGACAGCCGTTCGAAAACATACATTGCTACCGAGACCGGAGCAGAAAGAAACACAATCAGTGCAGTTGCTGGAAGAGACGGAGAATGCGAAGAGGCTGGCCGCCCGTGCGCTCGCCAAGGAGGTGGGTATCGGCGTGGACACGGCAGCAGTTTTGCTTCAGGCTGACGAATAATCCAAGCTCTTTGAAGTGTAATGGGATGAGGATTTCTTCCAGGCGCTACGTCGTGGGGATTTCACATGCGAGAAGTCAGATATTGACGAACTCATCCAGCTTGAAAGAGATTTGCAGACGACCAAGGCCATGTTGAGCACCAAGGGTGGCCATATCTCTTCTTCGCGGGATCGCATGGGAGCTCCCCACAAGGCCGTCAAGAAGAAGAAGAAGAAGAAGGTCGACGACGGCAAACCCCAGGGTGGAGGTAAAGCATGTGCATGTGGTGCAGGCGTGGCAGCGCCTGCGGCACCGACGAAGGCGGCCAGCATAGTAGGTTCAGCTCCTACGACACCTACGACAGTAGCCGCTGACAGCAGTGCCGACAGTCAAGCGCACATCGATCAGGAGGTCAAGCGCATCCGTGAAGCCGAGGAAGTGGCGGCTGCAGCGGCAGCCACAGTGGTGGCGGCTGCGGCGGCAAAGACCTCTGGGAAGGGGTCGAACAACACGTGATCGTCGAGCGCCGCTGGTACTACGCCCCCCAGTCCAGCCCGTCTACAGGGGGAGCGAATACGACCATATCGTGCTCGAGTATTTCGAGGATTTCAGTTTCGGCGTCTTCTGACTTGAGCTCGGGCGCAGCTGCCAGCGCACCAGGGACTTCAGAAGGATGAGGATCGCCTTTGCGATTGCGTCTAATCCTCACCTGCGACTCAACTCCTTCAAGTGCTGCCTTCTTGGGTCAGTGCTCTATTTTTGCGTGTGTGTGTGCAGTTTTTTCAGCAGTGTTGCTTTCTTGGGTCGCGAAGCGTTGGGTGATGTGATGCACCTTGTGGGCAGCAAGGCGTTCCAGTATATTGCTTTGTGCGTGACCCGCACCAGTAGTGCCCATTCTTCTCGTCCCAGCAAAGAGGAGAGACAGTGCAGCTGGAAGTTTGTTGTCAACCCAGCGTGGCTTGAGTCGACAAGGGGTGCGACCAAAGCTGGGCAGACCCGTGCGCATGGAGATGGTGATATGTTTCTGTCACAAGGTCATCGTGCTCCTCATGAATTTGCTCGCGGTAACTTCGGGGAGCTGTGTGTCTCCGGACTGCATGCTGGATGGTTTGTTGCCAGTGATTGTCCATGCGCAGGGCTATATCACTCATGTTGTCACGTTCCATGGAGTGAGTGGATGCAGTTTTGGCAACGGAAATCCTGCTCGGCTCGCGCGTCTCGTTGCCCTGCTGCAGGCTGTCCAGCTCCCGTGGGTCGTGCTCGGTGATTTTGCCGTCGCTCCGTTCGAGCTCCAACGTTTGGGTTCCGTGCGTAAGCGTGGGGCGTCGGTGCTGTAGTCCCCCGTGGATCACGCCTGCGTTGGATCCAGCGGGTCCTCGCGCGTCGATTTTGCTCGAGCCTCTGAGTTCGCGGCCCCGTGCATTTAAGGGGTGCAGGCGACGCAGATGTGCCTTGCAGGCTGCGCTGTGCTCTGGTTCTCCAGCTTGGGGCTGGGGGCGTAACTCATAACTGGGGCCCTTATTCTTCCCAGGCGTTTCCCTTAGGTTGGGTCTAAGTCTTCCAAGTCTAGGAGGGGCCTGGCCTGTCTGCAGGGGCTGGCTAAAGAACAGCAGCGCGGGCGCGACCAGTCTATTTTCGGCGATGTGGTCAGCGCTGCAAAGCCCGATGCTGGTCTGCCTGTTTCTAGGACCACCATTCAGTCTCGGGCACCCCCCAGCGCGAGGGATCTCGAGGCTCCTGAGATGTGGGGAGGGCGTCGCTCCGTTGCCATCGGCGACGAAGTGGGCCCTTGGGCTGATGGGCCCAATCTTGGGGGTCCCGAGTGTCCGCCCTTTTGGTCCTCCTCCCCCTCGTCGGTCTCCCCCCCGAATGGCCATTCCGCTTGTTCGGGAAATCCCCGCCCGAGGGATGATGCTCCCGCGATTTCCCCAGGCTCGGCGCTTGCTGTCCGATTTAGAAGCTCGACCGGGAATGGCTCTGCTGAAGCCCCCCCCAGCGAGTTTCTTCTTCATTCGGGGGCCGATTCCCTTCCCCCCCCTCTCAGCGGAACTCCCCTTGCTGGTTTGCTCGCTGCTTGTGCTGTTGCTTTTGCTTCCTCTTCTCCGACTGCTGGCGTTTGGCGCGGTGCGAGGCCGGCTTTCACTTTCGCGCATCTGAGCATCTCTGGAGACGCATTCGCAAGTGTTGGAGGCGACGACCATGTCTTGTCTGTGAGCGGCGTCTTGTCAGCGTGGATTGCAGCGGTGGTGCATTTGCCTGCTGACCCTGAAGGCGGTGGAGTTGCTTCGGATGGCGCGGCAGCCTCTTGTCCCACCGGCCAGGGTTTGGTGGTCAGACGAGTTCAGCAGTCCGATCGCTATCGGGACATGCCTTGCCAGGACGCCATCGCCAATTGGTGGGGGAGGTTACAGGTGGTTTTATCAAAACCGGCCCGTCACAATTTTAACGCGTAGCAGTGCTTCGGCCCAGATTCGGGCTTTTGTGGATGGTAGACTGGACCCAAATACCCCGATGGTGTACAACGGTGTGAAGGATCATCGGCGGGCGCGACTACTTGGGACACCTGGCAGCATATCCTCGCGTGCTTGCTGGATTTCGGGCATGCGCAATTGGGAGTGATGCCGGATAGAGTGGTCGCGTGTGATCGTGTGCTGTGCTGCCATCCGAGTCATGTGTGACCATCGAGCATCCAAGTGGCACTCTCTGTGGACGTCTTCGGTGCCCGCGGACATCAGTGACGCCCGCGTGAAGTTCGACGACTATCGCGCGAGAGACAGGGGGGGTCTTTTGGGCACTCTCATGCTTAGCTGCGAGGGCAGGGTGTGGCAGCGATCGCTTAGGCCCTGTCGGCCTCGAGTGCCCCCCCCAGATGAAGTTTTCGAGGGCCGTGCAATTTTCCGACGTTCGAGCAGTGTCAGACATGGCCTGGGTCGCTTATGGCCGTCTTGGTGAGGATGACCCCGAAGAAGACGACAGGGCACCACCGTTCGTTGTCTTGCTTTGCATGCAGGGTGCGGTCACTCGCCAGGGAGCTCAGTGTGCGGCAACGGCCCCATCGACGAGCAGTCGTCGAGGGATGCGGCCAGCATGTGCAATTCTGCGATCAAAGAAAGAGGCTTTCATGTGCGCTGTGGGTAGAGGGCTGTTCGCTGAGCTCAAGATTGCGAACTGACGCTCGCTGTGAGACATCCATTGTGTCTACGATATTATGCTGTGGGGCACCTGAGTCAAGGGGGCGCGACCATGTCTGGCTTTCCAGCGGTTGCGTCGGGTCTCGGGTTCACATGTGCACGAGCTCCAGGATGCCAGATCATTTTGGCGCGGTGTCTCTTCCCAATCAAGCGACGAGAAGGGTTGTTCGAGGGTTTGGAAGTGGTGCTCGGTTTGCGTGATGCGTCGCCGCCCTGGTCATGGAACGTCTCGCGGTCGTGCGTCCGACTCAGCGAACGATTATGGATCGATGGCTTATTTCGCTAGGCGGTGGCATCCGACAGGCATGTGCAGAGCGCCCTCAGTGAGGGTCGTCAAGGTAGCCCATGACCTGCTGGACGATGAGAACCTACAGCTTGCGGCTAAGAGTGTTGCTTCATGCCGGAGAATTCAGGGGCGATGGTGGCAGCCGTGAAGAGGCGATCTGCAGTCATCCAGTGTGCGATGTCGGCGTCGCACCCGGGGTGTGACCTTGGACGTGGTTGGGGGCTAGCCAGAGCCGCCAGGGAATCAGATTTGCCCTCCATGGGGATTGCTCTCTCGTCTAGGAGGTTTCGTACTTCAAAGAAAGCGGAGCTCTGGAGGCCCCGGACGGTTGCCAGGTTTTGTCATCAGATCCAGGGGCTCCTTGCGTGCACTTTGCAGTTCATGCGCAGGCGTGTCGGGGCTCTCTCTGGGCACCCCTGGGTGAGTGGCTTGCGCTCCCTCCTGGACCTTCGGGCCCCTGCGTCCGATCTAGGCTGCGTGTTGCCTGTGCAACGTTTTGAGCGGTGGTGTAGGCGCTGGCTGGATTTACCTCGCACCAGGATGCCCGTCTCTAGAGCGTGGAAGGTCGCGGTGGGGCATTTCCAGGACCTCGCCCCTCAGCGTTGGGCTGGGCGTGCGCGCCAGGGAGGGGGGTCCAGCGCAGATTCAGGACATCTGCGCGGAGCGCCAAAAGTTGATGTTTATGTTTTTTCTTTTCTTCTAGCAATGGGGGGGCGATGCATGGGGAAGGGGCAGCGAGGGCTGCAGTAAAGGAGCCCCTCAGGGCCCCTGAAGGAGCCCTGGATAAGGCCCAAAAGAGAGCCCATGATGGGCCCGAAAAGCGCACCTTGCTCCCCCCCCCCCCCTCTTGTATCGCCCCCCCAAGGTAAGCGACGCCCAGTCGAAGCCGCCCGGCAACCTCCCAGGGCCGCGCGCGGCCGCCGCCCCGGGGCCCCCCCAGGGCCATCCAGCGCGTGTGCATGGACAACGGGCTGGGCCTCCAGGCGCGGAGTCTCGGCCGACCGGCTCCGGCCAGGGCTCGACCCAAGCGGTGTTTTAGTTACTGCCCACCAAACCGCCCCAACCCGACTGGAAGGCCTCGATTTGCCCTCCATGTCCAGTGGGGGGGGGTCGGGGAACATTGAAAAAACACATATGAAGCCCGTACCCCTCCCAACCCGAAATTCGTGTCTTCGGGTTGGGTTGGGGTGGTCTGGTAGGTAGTCATTTTGCGATCTCGTGGACCCTGTTCGTTTTGATTCCGTTCTGCAACAAGGGCAGAACAAAAGACAACACGAGGGGGGAACGAAAAGAAAAATCAACACGGAAAACGCCGTTTCGGGCCGAGTGGCGCCGGCTTCTCGGCCGCCTCGGGCACGTCTTCGCCGCGTCGGCAGTGTGCCGCACAGCGCCGGACTGCGGCGACCGGCTCGGGGTTGATCGCATTGTTCGGGGTTGTTCCCTCCTCCCTTTTCGTGATTTCGTTCCGTTTTCGGTCCAGAGGGGTCGCGGCAGTCATTTTCATTTCTGCGAGTCCGGCGTCGGTTTCGGTGGCCCCTAATGGGAGGATAAAGGGGGTGTGCCGAGGGTAGGGCGGGCCCGAGGTATCAGGCAGCCCAGCGGCCGCAGCCATCGTTCCTGCCCTTGAACAGGACTCGAAGTCGGATCGGCGACCCGGTCCACTTGAGGCAGAAGGCCCCCTCGCCCAACAGGGGGGGTTTTGGACAGGGTCTGCTGGTCATTGGCCATGTGTTCCGCGCCCGTTGCAGCGTCCAGCCGGCCAGCGTGCCGCGCCCGCGAGCCCGGGGGGCCGGCGCCCCCCAACGACGGTTGGGGCTCTGTTTATAGGCTGTTCCTGGGAGCCTTGGGCGGTGCACTGGAGCTGCTCCGTGTAGGACCGGTAGGCGCCTCCTGTACCTCCTGCTCCCCCCTCCACTCCGCGGAGGTCTCCCCCTCCTGCGGAGAGTCCCCGCGTTCCAGCTCAGACCTTGGCCGAAGATTTAGGTGGCCGGCCGCGCGGCCCCTGTGCCTCGGCTGGGGCGGGTGCACCATATAGGTTCGCGGATGAGGCTGAGGTTGGGGTTTCTTTTGAGCCTCTCCTGGGCGTCTGGGGGGGCTCCCCTCGCCGCGGCCCCCTTCGGATGCGGGGTAAAACGCACCGAATGAGGCCCGGGGGAATTGTTTAAGGAGAGGAGGAGGAGAGGACAAGGAGGAGGATGATAGGAGAAGTCATAAAAAGACAATCTAGGAGCAATGTGCGTGTATCTGACATATACCATCCCATCTTTCACCTTGACTTTTCTCATCCCATCTAGACACATGTGCCAATCAATCACGCATATCATCTCATCACAAAATCACATATTCAACTGCAGATCAACATGTCCCATAGCATGCCCGTCTCTCACATGCAATCTCATTTCATGCTTAATGTCATGCTTATCCCATCTCATCACCTAGGTCATCTAGGGCCCTTGGCAATGTATCTTCTAACCGCTCATAGACATCATCTCAGACTCATCTCATCCTCGTTGATCATCTGAGCCTAATTAACCTCATTTCGGATCAACTACCACAGGCATTTGCTTGCAATGTCATTCCATCTCATCTCATCTCTATCTGTCATATCGCATCATCGCCGCGACCCACAATACAGGGCAGTCTCACGGCGCCTCGCGCGGAGCGTATCCATTGGATCCATATCCATGGGATTGCAGTTTGGTGTCCAGACCGCAAGGGCATGGACATGGACTTGGTCGTTTCTCGTTTTCAGCGCTGGAACCGCGACACATGCGACCCGCAGGTTTTCCTGGTTGCCTATAAGGAGCCCGCCTTGCAGGAGCTCGCCGACGTGTTCGAGTACTTCAACTCTGGCATGCTCTGGCATCGTATTCCGACAAGTTGCAGCGATGGCCCCCCGAGCCATCCAGGCGAGGCCTTGCGCGGCTCTTCAGCGTCTTGTTTCGCAATGCTACGGCCAGCAGCGACGGTGACGACGCTTGACGTATTCCCACCAGCCCATTCCAGAAAAAATCCCCAGTCAATTTGCATTGATTTGAGACATGCCGATTTGAGGCATCAATGTGCGCAGACCCAGAAGTCAACCGTAAAATCGCAGATCTTTCGATTTGGGAGCATGTTGGAGGCTTCCTTGGGCCACCTCGGGAAGCTGTCGGGGCCTGTTCGATACTTTAGGGCTCTTGGGGCCTTCATGGCGGCCTTGACAGCATTCTTGCTAACCTTTCGGGCACCCTTTGGAGCCACAGCAGGGCCATTTCAGGGGCATGGCAGTGTCGCTGCAGAGCCGCGGGCCGCTGGAACGGCTCGCGGGTGGGAGTGTGACGAGGGGCTCGCTGCCGGCGCGGCGGCCCTCTGCGCAGATGGCCGCGAGACGGGCTGCGGAAGCGGTGCGTTATCGCAGCCGTGCCGGCGGCAGCGCTTGTTTTCTAGAAGAGTCGTGGAGGCTGGCGAAGAGGTGGAACGGATGGAGGGACCTTCCAATGATGCCATGGATAGGGGATTCCCCCAACAGTGTTTGCACTTGGGGGTTCCCACTTGCGCTTCCAAGGAGTAGGATGGGTGTCCCGAGGACTCGTCACGTTCCAGCCTCTTGCCGCCCCATGGCCGCCCGTTGCCGCTTGTCGCGATTTCCCTGGGACTCGCCGCGTTCTGGCCCGTTGCCGCCCCGCAGCCGCCTGGTTCCGCCTGTGGGGGTGGCCCAGGAAGTCGCCACGTTCCGGCCCGTTGCCGGCATTTGCCGCCTGTGGGGGGTGTCGCAGGGGTGCAGACGTGCTCTTCGGGAAACGAACGCAGAGATGCTTGTGCAGTACATCGTTTGCACATCCACAGTGCCTAACTTCCTGTTTGGGGTCCACGCTGGCAAACATCTCGTGAGAAGCCGCGTCTTCCGCTCACATCTGCTAGACGGCCCGCTCGCCTTCACACCATGAAGAAGCCTCGTCAGAAGTCGGGACACGCGGCTGGAGACGGGAAGGATGGGAGGGGCCCCTCAGAAATTACGGAAATCTAGCTCGACCTCGTGGCATAGAAGAGGCAATACTTGTGTGGTAGTTGTGGCCTTCGATTGGTAGTAACATCGTGCAGGCAACTAGGCAGCCCGTGCCGATGATACATGTGTTCGCATTCGGGCGGGGCCGCCGTCACGGTGTGCTCAAGTCGGACGGCCGGCGTACATGCTACGAGCAAGGAGTTGGAGACGATGTGGTGTCATAGTTGGCACTTGTCTTTGAGAACAGTGTGCGACGACACGTGATGGATTACCTAGCTTGTTTGGGGACACATTCGTGGAATTGTTTGTTTTTGGCCTTGCTTGATGGTTGCAGACAGTGGGGGCTAAGAGCCTCTCGGCAATTCCTCGAGAAGCTTGAGCCTTTGGGGAGGCTCAGGTTCATCCTGCGAGATTACTCGTAAAGTCAAGCTGCCTGCAGCAGACATCGCCACAGTGCCTGTGCTTCTTCGACATGCGTACGGGATGGTTATACCGAGATGTTTAATCTTGTTTGATAAAACCACGTCTGGGGTGGCTACGAAGCAGCTGCGCGATGTTGCAGCGTGGCGCAGCCATGTGCGCTGCGTTGCTCTCAGGGGTCGTCTCAGAGGCTTCTTTGGGGTACATTCGGGATCTTGAGGCCGTCTTGGACGCGATGGTTCTGCCGAGTTCTTCCCAAGATGCTCGGCTGAGGCATCGTGGGAACATCTGGGCTGGTTCTGGTACCGCCGTGGTCCCCTCTTGGTGACGCCTTGGCCTGGTCTTGGGACGCTACCGGGTTCCTCCGACGTGTTGTGCCGTTTCAGGGTTTTTTGGGTGCGACTTGAATATGACAGACTTCGGAAGCAAACGCATTCTCACACAGGCACATGTTTCTCCGTCGGCGATGCGACGTCGCTATCTCGAGAGCATGAAAGGGGTGCCTTCTGGTTAAGTGCACCCAGCATTGTATATATGAGACGGCAGAAAAAGGACAGGTGAGACCCCGACCAGCCAGCGTGCAATGCGGACCGCACAGAGCCCGCGGAATGGAACCCCCCATCCCGGGTGTGGAAGAGGCGCGCGGTGCGCCGCGGGGAGGCACTAGGCGCGTCCGGGAGAGCCGTACGCAGAGCAGTGGTGTTGTTTGTTAGCCGAGGGGCTTCGCACACGCGCGCACTCCCTGGCAGCAGCAGCAGCTCACGAGACCGAAAGTGATCTATAGCTATGCCACTGCAACACAAGACGGTGCCTAAAAAGGAAGATCAGCCTCCCATCCAAGGACCCCAGGAGGATGGGAGCAGGAGGCAGAGGAGAAAACCCCGCCTCGAAGCCTTCTTCTGGGTGCTGCCCAGGGCGCGCGGGTGGCGTGTGAGGAGAGAGGGAGTAGGTGGGGCGCCACGGTGTGTGCGCGGGCCAGCGACCGTGTGCGGGGTCACCGCCAGCGGCGCACGACGCGTGTGAGGCGTGGAGCGGGCTGCAGCAGGGTGGCAAGACTGGCAACCCAGGCCACCACCGCGGTGAACAACTGTGTGCCAATCGGGTCGGACGAAAAGGGGGGATGTAGAAAAAGGAGGGGGGAACGAAATCTGCTGCATGCAGCTGGTTTCGATCCCGCCGAGGAGCCCATTCCTCGATACATGGCCGCCCCCAGCGCCGTGAGGCGCCGGGAAAATCAGCTACGTGAGCCGATTCGCCAATCCCCCCTTTGCTATCCCCCCCCCGTTCTTCTGGCGCGAGCCAAGCGTGTAAGACAAAGGCAGGGCGTGAGGCGAATTATTGCCAGAGCGAGTGCGCGAAGGCCCGCCGACGCGTGCGCAAGAGCACGGCGCCAGCGCCGCAACGACGGCGCCCGAGGCCTCCCCAGGTCTGCCGGGCGCGCCAACCCCGTGGGGAGGCTAGGCTTGCGCCCAGGCCTGGGAGCTGAGCCGCCCAGAGAGAGGGAGAGGGAGAGAGGGAGAGAGCGAGAGAGAGAGACAGAGAACAAAAACTCCGCCGAAAAACGATACATACCTCGCAGGTGCGGATAAGAGTGATGGGGCGGTGGGGACGTGGGCAGACTCTGGAGAAGCCCCCCGCAGGTGCCAAAGTTTCACAAATTATACCACGAGCCCGCCGCAGGCGCCGATTTTTTCGTCAAACAAATGTGGGCCGGTCGCGGGTGGGTTGCGGGTGGGTCGCGGGTGGGTCGCGGGGTGGGTCGCGGGGTGGGTCGCGGGTTTGGTCGCGGGTGGGTCGCGGGTGGGTCGCGGGGTGGGTCGTTGTTGGGTCGCGGGGTGGGTCACGGGGTGGTTCGCGGTGGGTCGCAGGTGGGTCGTTGTTGGGTCGCGGGGTGGGTCGCGGGTGGGTCGCGGGGTGGGTCGCGGGTGGGTCGCGGGTGGGTCGCGGGTGGGTCGCGGGGTGGGTCGCGGGGTGGGTCGCGGGTGTGTCGCGGGTTTGGTCGCGGGTGGGTCGCGGGGTGGGTCGCGGGGTGTGTCGAGGGGTGGGTCGCGGGTGGGACGACGACAGCAGACAAACAACGCAACAAGCAGAACATTCACCACGGATCCCGACTTCGACAATGAATGACCGTTCGGGCCCCTCACTCTGATGTGTATACATGCATCTCTATATATATATATATATATCATATGTATATACACAACATATATAAGTGTATATATATATATATATATATCTCAGAGTGAGGGGGCCGAACGGTCATTCACTGTCCCTGGGTGCGTGGCTGAAATGGGATTCCGTGGTGCGGATTCGTGTTGTTGTTGTTGTTGTTGTTGCTGTTGTTGTTGTTGTTGTTGTTGTTGTTTGTTGTTGTTGTTGTTGTTGTTGTTGATGTCGATGTTGTTGTTGTTGTTGTTGTTGTTGTTGTTGTTGTTGTTGTTGTTGTTGTTGTTGTTGTTGTTGTTGGTGGTGGTGGTGGTGTTGTTGTTGTTGTTGAACTCTCATTCTTGAAGAATAATTATTGTTGATCCCCCCCACCGGTGCACATTGATTTTTATCGATTGAAGTGCCACCCCCGGGGCTCGCACCTTGTTTTTCTAAAGGAAAGTCTTCCTGCTCAAACTGTGCCCCTGCCCCCCGGGCTACAACAACAACGGCTCCCGCCTGAGACTTCTTCGATTTTTGCTCAGGACCCCCGCTCCCGCCTGAGACTTCCGCGCAATTTACTCAGGAAAGGCGCTCCCGTTTGAGACTTCCTCGCAATGTAATCAAGACCCCCGCTCCCGCCTGAGACTTCCGTGCAATTTACGTGGGAACGGCGCTCCCGCTTGAGACTTCTTCGAATTTTACTCAGGACCCCCGCTCCTGCCTGACATTTCCGCGCAATTGACTCAGGAACGGCGCTCCCGCCTGAGACTTCTCGCAATTTAGTGAGGACCCCCGCTCCCGCCTGAGACTTCCGTGCAATTTGCTCAGGAACGGCGCTCCCGCTTGAGACTTCCTCGCAACTTAGTCAGGGCCCCCGCTTCCGCCTGAGATTTCCTCACAATGTACTCAGGACTGCGCTCTCGCGTGCGACGTCCTCACAAATTATTATGGAATTGCGTTTCGGCGCTCAGGAACCACGCGCGCGCCAAGGACGCCTTCACAACGTGGTATCTTCCCTCTTCTTTCGTCCTTCCCCCTCCCCTTCCTCCCACTCTCCCTCGTTCTTCCCCTCCTCCTCTTGCAGGGCCCGCGCCAATTCCAATGGCGGGCAGAGAGATGTACGCCCCCGAAGGATTGTCCGCCCGTTCCGGTTTGCCCGTACGTCTAAGCCCGCCGGCCCCAGCAAAGAGAAATAATCACCCCGAAAGGGGTGTGATCGAAGACGAAGAGGGCGGGTATCGAGGGTGTAGGGTATACGTGTTGAATGACTCGCGGGCAAGTAAGAGCGTACAGCTTTAAATGGTTGTTGGTTGTAGTTGAACATTATTACTTCTTATAGAATAATTATTGTTGGGACCCCTGGTGCACGACCCCCCTCCAAAACCTAGGCCGCAGCTACATTTTCATCATTTTTTCGCGAAAGCTTCAGAAAATTGGATTGGTACCGGATCCGGTTGTTTTGTTGTAATCCGTTTTCCCTTGCAAAAAACACTATAAAATGAAAATTCTTGTTCTTACTTGATCAAATTGCAAGAATCCCTTGCAAAAAATAAGGTAAAGTGGACATTCGTGCGCGCAAGACGAAATCCTTCCAAAACCTTAGGTTTCGTAGCGATTTTAACATAAAAACATCAAAAACCCAATGGTTTTTTAAGAAAAAAATGTCAAAATGTCCTTCCGCGCGCGCTGTCCGAATCCCACAAAACAAATGGTTTTTCAACATTTATGTTACATGAGCTCGCGCGAGCTACTTTTTCTTGTTCTAACATAATCAAATTTCAATAATCCCTTGCAAAAAATAAGGTAAAGTGGACATTCGCGCGCGCAAGACGAAATCCTTCCAGAACCTTAGGTTTCGTAACGATTTCAACATAAAAACATCAAAAAGCCAATGGTTTTTCAAAAAAAAATGTTCAAATTTCATCCCGCGCGCGCTGTCCGACTCCCACAAAACCAATGGTTTTTCAACATTTATGTTACATAAGCTCGCGCGAGCTACTTTTTCTTGTTCTTACATAATCAAATTTCAACATCCCTTGCAAAAAAAAAGTAAAGTGGACATTCGCGCGCGCAAGACCAACAAAAAACACGTCGATCTCAGGAACTTGCCCCAAAAATGTGGCCAACTCCGCTCTCTCTGTCTCTCTCTCTGTCGCTCTCAGTCTCTCCTTCTGTCTGTCTGTGTCATGTATTGTATGTCACAAATTGCAGGATGCTGGGCTCTACGCGCCCCGAAAACGTGACCAAGTTCTGTGTGGTGGTACCCCACGCTGAGTAGTAGCCAACGGTTCGTCCGCACGCACGAAGTGATGGTGGTACCAAGGCATAGGGCGGGGAAGCTGGGTTTGGGTGGTACGCGAGAGTCGTTTGGGATATGTGGTTTGAGCTTTGAAATCGGCCCCCCCACGAAGTGGGGGTATTGTCTCGCGTCGCATGAAAACCCTGGCACTGGTGAGAACACTGAGCGTTCGGGTAAAATGATTGTTGTTGTTGTTGTTGTTGTTGTTGTTGGTGTTGTTGTTGTTGTTGTTGTTGTTGTAATTATTGTTGGGCCCCCTGGTGCGCGCCCCCCCTGCGCCGCCTAGGCCGCAGCTACATTTTCATCATTTTCGTGAGGAAGCCTCAGAAAAGAGGGTGTGTACAGGATCCGGTTGTTTTGTTGTAATCCGCTTTCCCTTGCAAAAAACAATAGAAAATGACATTTCTTGTTCTAATATAATCAAAGTTCAAGAATCCCTTGCAAAAAATAAGGTAAAGTTGACATTCGCGCACGCAAGACGAAATCCTTCCAAAACCTTAGTGTTCGCAGCGATTTTGAACATTTAAAAAAAAAAAAACAAAAAAAAAAAAAAAAAAAAAAAAAAAACAAAAAAAAAAAAAAAACAAAAAAAAAAAAAAAAAAAACAAAAAAAAAAAAAAAAAAAAAAACATCAAAAAAAACAATAAGTTTTTTTTCACAAAAACGTCAAAATCTCATCCCGCTCGCTCTTGCGGATTCGTAGGAAACCCAACACTTTTTAAACATTTCTGTCAAACGGGCTTTTGCGAGCAACTTTTTCGAACTTCTGCGACAACGGTTGCGCACCTGCCAGGGCCATCATCCCTGTCAAGTAATACCATGCGGGACACATTCGTTATTTCTTCGCGCGCGCACGCCGTCGTCGTCGGCCGCGGGGCCTTGAATAGTAGCCACGGTCGTCCGCATGCCACGAAGTGAAGTGTCCGAACGTCATAGGGCGGGAAGCTGGTGTGGGTGGTGGCGAAGAGTCGTTTGGAAATTTGGTAGAGCTTGAACCGGCCCCCCCACAAAGTGGGGGTATTGCCCGCCTCCTATGAAAACCCTGGCACTGGTGAGAACGGAGTGTCCCCACGTGCTAGTAATTGTTGTTGTTGTTGTTGTTGTTTGTTGTCGTCGTCCCACCCGCACCCCCCCCGCGACCCACCCGCGACCCACCCCTCGACCCACCCCGCGACCCACCCGCGACCCACCCGCGACCCACCCGCGACCCACCCCGCGACCCACCCCGCGACCCACCCCACGACCCACCCCGCGACCCACCCCGCGACCCACCCCGCCACCCACCCCGCCACCCTTCCCACGACCCACCCGCGACCCACCCGCGACACACCCGCGACCCACCCGCGACCCACCCCGCGACCCACCCGCGACCCACCTTCGACCCAAACCACGTTCAAGGTACAAACCACCAATTTCGGCGCCTGCGGCGGGCTTTTTTTGCATTCCTTCCAGGTGGAGAGCCCGCGACCCACCCCGCGACCAACTCGCGACCAACCCGCGACCCAAACCACGTTCAGGGTACAAACCACATTTTTCGTCGCCTGCGGCGGGCATCTTTTGCATTCGTTTCAGGTGGAGAGCCCGCGGCCCACCCGCGACCACGTTCAGGGTACAAACCAATTTTTCCGGCGCCTGCGGCGGGCATTTTTTGCATTCGTTCCCGGTGGAGAACCCGCGACCCAAACCACGTTCAGTGTACAAACCAATTTTTTCGGCGCCTGCGGCGGGCTGCTTTTGCATTCCTTCCAGGTGGAGGTGGAGAATCGCGACCCACCCGCGACCCAAACCACGTTCACTGAACAAACCAATGCCGCACAAGCGCGGCGGCGGGTTTTTGCATGCCGTCTGAGCCCGCAACGACCTCTTCAAGCCCCGCGCATCCACATCAGCCCGTCCAGCAGCTTTGCCCTGGTGAGTTGCCTTGATCAGAGAAGTCGGGGAGCATAAAGTGGAAAAAAGGATTGCGTTGCCGTTATCTTGGGAAAGGAGGGGGAGGCAGGAGGAGTAAAAAGGGGACGAGGAGGACGCGGAAGAAGAGAGGATGTAAGGAGAACGTGGAGAAAGAGGAGGAGGAGGAGGAGGAGGAGGACGAGCGGGAGGACGGGGAGGAGGGGGAGGAGGAGGACGAGGAGGGGGAGAAGGGGGAGGAAGGGGAGGAGGGGGAGGAGGAGGGGGAGAAGGGGAGAAGGGGCGGAGGAGGGAGGAGGATGATGATGATGAAGACAATGGAGGGACGATTGATGGAGGCCGTGAGGGGAGGTGACAATGGGAGGACGATGATGGAAGGGACGAGGGGGGAGAGAGGGTGGGACGAGGAGAAGAGGAGGAGGAGGAGGAGGGAGGGACGGGGTGGTGTGAGGAGGATGACGATTGACGATAGGACGAGACGAGTGTGAGAGTCGAGGAAGAGTATGAGATTGTGGATGAGGGAGGAGGAGGAGGAGGAGGAGGAGGAGGAGGAAGGTGGAGGTGGTGGAGGAGGCAGGAGGAGAGGAGGGGAGGAGGAGGAGGAGGAGGAGGAGGAGGAGGACGGAGGAGGAGGAGGAGGAGGAGGAGGAGGAGGAGGAGGAGGAGGAGGAGGAGGAGAGCGCCTTCGACAGGGAAGGTGGGGGCCACGAGGTCCGCCGGCTCGACGACGCCCGCGTCGCCCGCGCCCGCCCCCTCACTCTTATCCGCAATTGCGGGATGCTACGTATATATACATATATATACACAGACACCCTCCACTGGATTGTTCCTGGGCCTCAGGGGAGGATGGCGGTGTGTAAATCACCACTGAGAGCCAGCGACCTTCTACACCGTCACCCGCCCTGAAGGTACATCCAGCAAAAGTCGTCGGAGGCGGCTTGTGCCTGTGTATGTGATTTCGTGGCGTAAGAGAGGCGATGTCGAGAGGTGGCTGGCACGGGCGGCGGCCTTCCCCCCCATCTTCGTTTCTGGGCAGGTGGGTCCCCTCCCCCCGCCAAGGTTGGGGAGGGGGGTTCTGTCCCCTCGGTTTCCGGGCAGGGAATGCGCCTCCCCATCCCTGGGTGCTTGGGGAAGGGGGGGGGGAAGTTGTACCCCCCCCGTGTGTTCCCGGAGGGGGGGGGGGGAAGGGCATTTGTTCAGTCTGGCGACGGTAGATCGCGCTCCCTCCATCGTGTGTGAACATTTTTTTTCGGTCAGCCTCGCTTGTAGTAGCTTGGCAGGGAGTGTCACGCCTCACTCGTCGACGAACCCGAACCCTTTTTCCGCACGGTCGGGCTTCGTCTTTGTTGACATGGTCGCCGCGCTTCTTCATGCCTGGCATTGTCTGGCCCTGGCAGCATGATGCCTCCGTTGCTCGTCCTGCCGGGCAGGCAGCAAGAATGCGAGCAAGGAGAGCGTCCGGAATGTGAGCAAGGAGATCTTTCAGAGGTGGGAGCAGAAGGTGATAAAGGCACGGCCCTTGGCGCGGTCCGCCCTCTCCCTCTTTCCCCCATAGGCGCCCCGTGATCCTCCCCCCATGACCACGTTTCGCTTTTGGCATTGCCGCGCGCTCGGCCCCTCCGTGTGAACCCACCGCCATCGCATTCTCGCAAACCACTCCAATGTTTAGCGTGGTAGCCATGATCATGTCGGGTACCTCTATCGTTCGTCAGTTGCCGTTCTACCTCGAAGCAAAGTGCGTCTGTCAGGCATTCAGCATCACGCCAATTCATAAAGCAGTGCACCCAGTAGGTATGAGTTATGCCGCACGCTTGTTTCAATGCAAGGCGCTGCGCCGCACTCTTCTTGCAACACGCGATCCACGATACGATCTCTGGTGGTGAGGCTTCATTCTGATAAGGTGGTTTACCCTGGGTAGGGCTGCTGCCCCACCGACATTGGTGAGAGTAGCATGCGAAATGAAGCTGTTGAAACAATAGCGGTTTCCTTCGTTGTCCGACTTTCGGTTGGCGAGGAGGTTGGTTGTTTCCCGTTTCCGATAAGCCAGCCTTCCCCCTCACTCTCTTCCTCCGCCTCCTCCTCCACTTCTTGGGGCATGCGACATCGGGTAGGGGGGGTGGGTGGGTGATGGGAATGGAGTTGGGGAGGGAGGAGGGGAAAGGCTGGACAGGGGGAAAGGTGAGGGGAAGAGTGTTTGCGTTTGGAGAGGGGCGGGATGAGAGGAAGGCAGGGGGAGTAAAGGAGGAAGTAAAGCGAGGTGGGAGGAGAGGGGAGGTGGGAGAAGGAGGGGACGAAAAGGTGAGGGCGGCGGGGGGCACCTGGGCGGCAAGGCGTGAAAAGTACGGGCTTCGCGCCCCTTGGGCTGCGGCAGCCTGTCCCTGATGAGGAGCCCTATAGTCACCGTCCGCATCTTGCATCTCCCCCTTTGCTACTGCTTAATGCTCAGAGTTCATAGGGTCATGTCCCACGGCCCACTCGATACGTATTTTCCTGACTCGTCACACATTGTGTGAGTGTGCTTGGGTGCGTGATTGTGCGTATGTGTGTGACCGGGCCCATCTCGGGTCTGCTCGGGTCTGATGCCGGCCGACCCCCGCTTTGCGTGGCTATATCTGCCTCGGCGCCCTGGCCGACTCCCCGAGCCAAGACGCGACGGTGCCCCCGTTTGGGGCTCCGGCAGCATGCCTCGCCGCCCCGCCCCCAGGCGCGGCCCGTTTGGCGGTGCTCGTCGCTGCCTCGGCCGCTGCCCAGCCGCCCGCTGGCCCCGCGGGCGCCTGCTGCCTCCCCGCCGCGCTGCGCCGCCCCGCCACTGCCCCATGAGGGGCCAGCGCCTTTCTCACCTTTGCCTTGCTTAGCCTGGAGGTAGCCCGCCGGGCGTTATTGACGGACGGCCGCGCGGCTTCTTCGCCCCGTCCGCGACGCTCAAGAAGTGTGCGTGTGCGTGTGCGTGTGCGTGTGCGTGTGCGTGTGCGTGTGCGCGTGCGCGTGCGCGTGCGCGTGCGCGCGCGCGCGCGTGTGTGTGTGTGTGTGTGTGTGTGTGTGCGTTTGTGCGTGTGGGTGTGTGTGTGTGTGTGCGTGTGCGTGTGCGCGTGCGTGTGCGTGTGTGCGTGTGTGCGTGTGCGTGTGCGTGTGCGTGTGCGTGTGGGTGTGGGTGTGTGTGCGTGTGTGTGTGTGTGTGTGTGTGTGCGTGTGTGCGTGCGTGTGTTTGTGTCCGCCTTGTCGCCGCGCGCAGCCCAGGACTGCGACGCCAAAAGGTGTGTGTGTGTGTGGGTGCGTGTCTGTGTGTGTATGTGTGTGTGTGTGTGTGTGTGCGCGCCTGTGTGAGTGCGTGTGTGTGTGTGTGTGTATGTTTGTGCACGTGTGTGGCGGGGCGCCCACCCCGTGATACTGTTTCAACGGCCCGCAGGCGCTGACCCTGGAACCAGGGCGGGCCCGCTCAGGATCGGGCGGGCTGTGTGCGGCCGGCGCGCCCCCCCAACGCGCACGGAGGCCTTCTGCAACCGAGAGGACAGGTCGACGGACGACGACTCGAGGGAGGCCCTCGGCGTCTGCGCCTCGGCCCGCGCCTGGCGGCCGCGGGGGGTGGGCACGCGGTCGCCCGGGGAGCGCCGTGCGTCGCGCGGGCGCCGGGTTGTTCTCGTGCTCGTCGTCGTTGCCGGTCCTCGTCTTGCCTGCTCCTTCCGCTGCTCCCTCCCTGCCCCTCCGTCGCCGCTGCTCCGCCATGCTCGCTCCCTCCTCCCCTCCCCTGTTTTCCTCCCTCCTTGCCTGCTCCCCCTTTCCTCTGTCCTCCTCCCTGCGCCCCTCGTTCCTCCGGCTCTCCCTTTCAAGTGCTCCATGACCCCATGGAGGGGGCAAGCTCCTGCACCAGAGCCCCCTTTTCCTCGGGGGCCGGGAGGGAGAACAGATGAAGCGGCCCTGGTCAGCCACGTTTGCCACCACCGCTCCGCTCCTCCTCCTCCTCCTCCTCCTCCTCCTCCTCCTCCTCCTCCTCCTCCTCCTCCTCCTCCTCCTCCTCCTCCTCCTCCTCCTCCTCCTCCTCCTCCTCCTCCTCCTCCTCCTCCTCCTCCTCCTCCTCCTCCTCCTCCTCCTCCTAGGTGGCTTCCCAGCGTGGCCCCGCCCCGCCCCCGCGCAGCCATTTTGCCCGCAGGCGGCGCCGCGGGGCCCGTGCCATCGGGAGCCCTCAGGCCCACGGAGGGCCGCCGAGGCCTGAAGAGGCCTCCCTCGCCCGCCTGGCACAGGCGCCTCAGACGGGCGCGAGGCCAGGCCCGCAAGTGGTTACGAGCGGAACAACATCGACAGCTGCTCGACCACCACCACGGCAGCATGAAGCCAGGTGGCGCAGTACGGATGACCTGCAAGAGGTGCCAGTGCCAGTCCTGGTGGTGGCACACCACGTTCGAGCGCAACGACTACTGGTGCAGCTGCGGTTGCCGCGTGGCCAGGCCCAAGACGGGCAAGCCGCAGCAGCGGCAGCAGCAGCAGCAGCAGCAGCAGCAGCAGCAGCAGTCCAACTGGTTGCAGCAGCAGTCCATCGGCGAGCGCAGTGCGAGACCCCGTGGCGGAGGCGGCACCAGCAGCGTCGACGCCAAGGCTGGCGGCGTCGCCCCGTTGGCATCAGCTCTGGAGACGGTCGCGGAGTCCATAGGCACGCTGAAGCTCGCCAGCGGGGGCGCCATCGCGAAGCAGCTCGCGGGCGTCGCGGATACGCTCCAGGAGGCGCCAAAACCGCAGACCAAGTCGCGCGCTGCGCGCTTGGCTGAGGCGGCGAAGGAGCTCGAGCACGCCAACAAGACGTACAAGTGGGCGTTCGAGCAGGCGGAGATCGCTCCGCAGACGGCCGAGAAGGCCAAGGCCGCCCTGAAGGAGAGAGCGGGCGCGGTCGTGAAGGCCGAGCGCGAGATCGAGGATATCCAGCAGGAGGGCAAGCCGAACACCAGCCAGCGCAGCATCTCCGAGCAGCTGCCCGACACGGACGTGGACCTGCTCTCGCCGAGAGACGCGCAAATCGCCGAGGTGGAGCAGGAGTTCGCGCACCCGGACGATCTGGGCGAGCAGGGTCGCAAGGCGGTGGGCGACACCAAGCGCCGCCAGGTGCTGGTGCAGCTGCAGAGGAACGCCGGAAAGTTCGCGGGCCAGCTGAAGCAGCACCTCCAGGCGGCGAAGCTGAAGGCGGAGCATGAGAGGGCCGAGATCCAACAGGCCTGCAAGAAGAGGATGTCGGATTCCTCGGCAGCGGCGGCAGCGGCACCAGCAGCGCCACCACCAGCAGCAGCCGCGGCCACAGCTCCAGCAGCAGCCGACGACGACGAGCACGCGGAGACGAATGAGAATGACGCCGCGGAGGGCTACCTCCAACAACGGCGAACCGCGGCGGCCTCCTCAGATGCCCCCGCGACCCGCTGAAGGTCACGGCGCGGTGGGAGGAGGCAGGTTGGCGACGACTCCCACCTCGAGCGCCGCATCTTCAGCGCCAACATCGCTCGGTGGGGCCCGACGGTGATGAGCTGGCTTCGCCGCGATGGAGCGCGGCAGCCGCGCGACGTCCACGCGTTGCAGGAGACCCACCTGGCCCGCCGCAAGCTCGACGGCGCGGAGCACAAGCTGCAGAAGGCGGGCTTCTCAGCAGCGCTCACAGCAGCGCGGGCGAGCGACAGAAGCGAGACAGGCACTTGCGGAGGCACGGGCGTCTTCGTCAAGGGCCACCTCGAGGCGACGTCGCACCGATGCCAGGGACCACGCGGCGCAGTTTCGGGCGCAACCGCATCAGACGCCCACGGCTCGCAGCACGACGCCTTCAACATGTGCGACTGGGCGCCAGTCACTCTGCGCAGGCGCGGTTCCCAGCTCCTCGTCATCTCCATCTACCTGGGCCCGTCCCACTCCGCCGCCAGTGGCGAGAACTCCGGGAAGTTAACGTCGCTGGCCGCGCTCCCCAGCACAATGCGCGCACCTTGGACGCTCTGCGGCGACTTCAACAGGCCGCGCGAAGACATGGTGCAAGCAGGATGGACAACCGCCCTCGGTGCTGCAGCATACGTCGGGCTCGACAACGATCAGCGCACCTGCTTCCTTGGCGACGCCCCGCCCTCCAACGTCGACTTGCGCGTTGGTCGGCGACGGCGGGCAACGTCTCGTGCGAGGAATCCGACCGGTGCGCGACGTACCTTGGAAGCCGCACATCGGGCTCGACATCGCCGTCAGAGCAGACGCGGGCTCCAACCTCAGCCGGCGACCCCAGCTACCGAAGGCCTTCCCACGCCCAACACAGCCCAAGAAGACTAAGACGACGAACAGACGAAGAGTCAGAGGAGCACAACGACTACGCCCACGACTACGACGCCGTTCGATCAAGATGCCGAGGACTCAGCACGATGGGAAGCGCTTGGGCCGCGCGGATGGCAACGCCACCCAACCGCAGCAACCGCGACCACTCCCGCCACAGCGCCACCACCACGACACAGCACGATGGACGAAGATGGTGGCGACCCTTCCGACTTCGCGGACGACGACCTCAGCGCGTTCGCCCTGCGCCACGACGCCCAACGACCCCACCGCCATTTTGACGACGCCCAAGACATGGACCACCTCCACGGCGCCACCGAGGCTGACAGGGCCGAGGTCAGCAGCATGGCGAGCACCACCGTTGAGCCGAATTCGGAGCTGAACGATGACATGGACTGCGCAGGCGCTCAAAGGGCGCCACAGCAGATACCATTACTCGATCGATTTGATGCACGAGCACTCGAGACCGACACCAACAACATGGACGATGCGTGGGAGGTAGCAAACATGATGCACCGCGGCCCCACCAGCACAGGCCCGCACTACATCCAGAACTGCGCCGCCTACCAGGTCGACCCCGACAGCGCCGACCAGCTAGGCGCGACATACCAGCGCCTCATCAGCACGCTCGAGACGTTCTACTGCATCGCGTACCACATCCCACTGGAAGACCGCCACCACTTCCTCGGGCGCGGACAGGCATGCGAATTCAAGACGCAACAGACACGAAAGCCCGACAACCAACAACGATGCGCATCCCACAGGTCCGACCGGTGGAGCCGCGCGGAGAACACCCTCAGCACATTGGTCAAGCTACGACGACGAGCACGCGGACAGCAACAACAACGCAGTCTACGCGCCGCAGGACGACGTTTGGTACGTGAATGACTGCTACCACGCGGACGCCACGCATCGGACTCGGCACGATTGCACCACCAACTCTGGAAACAACGATTCACCAACTTCGAAGACACTCCAACTGACACGCTCCAGGGCATGGCACAACAAGCGCAGAAGATAATATCATCGCCCTCCGACTTGACCCACGCATCCGCCAGCGCGACTCCAGTGCGCGGCTCGCGACAGCACCCCGCCGGGGACAAGAAGTCGCAATTCAAGGCGAAGTGCTAAGCAGCCCGCTCGAAATCGTCGGCGCCAAGGCCACGGAGTTCGCCAGGACCTGGACATGCAGCGACATCCCACGCCTCCAGCACCCAGCAGTACTTGCGGCGCTCCGTGAACGAGCACGACGCGAATACCCCGCTCCACCGTGGACCGTGGAGGACCTCGACCGCTGCCTCAAAGGCGAGCCCGGCAAGGACAATGGCGTCGACGCCATCAGGTGCAGCGACATCCGACGCCTACCACGACCAGGGCGCCAAGCAGTCATCGACCTCTTCAACCTGCGCGAGCACCGACTGACGTGGCCATGGCAACTGCTGCTATCCATCGCCATGATCATCCCAAAGCCGAAGAAATGAGACCGCGCGCTGGCGCTACTTCCACAACTCTTCCGATGCTGGGAGCTCCGACACAGAGACCGAGTCCGCCAATGGGCGGCAGACCAAGAGCGCGAATGGGATGCCGCAATCGCGGGCAACAGCTGCCTGCGCGAGGCGCTACGACGACTCATCGCAGACGAGCGCGCCGACGCCCAAGCCGCGCTCCACATGCAGTTCCCAGCGCGGCCACTCTACCTCATGATGCTACACAATTCCGCAGCACGAGCACTGCGACGACAACGGTCGTACCCTATCCCGCTGTACGCAGACCGCTCCATCTTGGCAGGCTCACGACATGCCAACAATGCAGCGCGCGCTGTAGTATACGCGGCGATGGCCAAGCTCACCGATACCAGCACACGGCCACGACCTCTACCACGCGCTTGGTCCAACGACATCAGCATCCGCATCGTAGGCAGCAGGTCCCAGATCACCACTGCCACCGTGACCACCACCCACGGCCTCTTCCTGGTACTACAGGAACACGGGCTCCGACTCGCAGACAAAACCACACTGTTGACCACGCGCCTCAAAGACACCAAGACGATCCAGCGCCAACTCCGCGACCTCGGCATCGACGCACAGGCGGACGCACAGGCGTCCTCAGAAGGACGCGACCTGGGAGCAGACCGAGCAGCACGCGGCACCGCCCGACGAGCGACCGCCGCTGCGTGGACAGCAGCGGGGCGCCGACTGGGGGCAGCACGAACCAAGCTCAAGAGACCCCACGCCACGACAAAGGCCAGGCTAGTGCAGCAGGGAGCGACGGCATCCATAAAGCATGACACCACACTCCACAGCCTGGCGCCCATAGCACTGCGAGCGACACGACGACGGTACGCACAAGCACTCCGACGACCTTGGCCAGGACGCTGCCTGACTACCTTCCTCGACTTGGAGGGAACGGACCCAGCCTGCACCATTGCGAAGACGCAGCTCTCCAACTGGTTCAGCTGCTGGGCCCGCAGCCCCGCCCTTCGAGCACAATTGAGACGCGCGTGGCCCAAGATCTACTTCAGGATGCTCTGGGTACCTGCACCGCGACGATGGACGCAACGCGGAGGACCCATCGCAGCCATCATCGTGGCATTGTGGGAGCTCGGCCGGGACCCCAGAGGCCCCGACCACTGGGTCGACAGCGAAGGCTGCGACTGGAATATCCCGCAAGAAAGCAAGATAGGCGACCCAACGGACATCCTCGACGCCATCTTGAACGACGTCCGCGCGAAGCTCTGGACAGCCGTAGCCAGCCAATGCCACGGAAGGGGGCCTGGAACAGCACGGAGCAGACACGACAGATCTTCGACCGCACCTACAATGGCCCAGAGACCACGGCAAACGCCGCGAGTACGGGGGGGTCCTTACTGCGACATGCGCAGGAACATGGACGCGAACACGACAGCAGTCCACCTTCGGCCACGGGAGCAACCTCTGCGAGCGCGGCCAGATCAACATCGACTACCACCGCATCTGGGGCGAGTGCAGCTGCCGCAGCCACAACCCCGCCTACGCCAAGTCCGACCGACTACGGACACAGGCCGAATCAGGTCACCACACCACGCCAGCCTTCGTGGGCACGTGGCATCACACCGCATGCTTGGTCGGCACCGCCAGAATGCACCACCGAAAAGGAGACCAGCAGCATCGGCGAGATGATCCACGCAGACAAGATCAGCACATCAGACGGGTCGCCCCCGGTCATCTACGGAGACGGATGGGGAGGCGCGCGCAGCGCGGACTGGCGGTGCTGCAGATGTGGCTGGGCTTGGGCGCGGCTATCAGGCTCCGACAACGACGGCTTCAACATTGCAGCAGCGCGCTTCGGCCCCCTACCGCGCAGACGACAGACAAGCAACCGAGCAGAACTATGGGCCCTCCTAGACTGCCTACGCCACACCACCGGACCACTACACTACTGGGCGGACAGCGAACTCGCGTACAGGGGATGGCGCGACAGGCGGCGTCGGAACAAAACCACAGCCAACACCAACGACGACCTTTGGGAACCCTCCAGGGACGAGCTCAACCGCCGCAACGACCAGGGGCCATCGCACATAGCTGTCCACCCCATGAACAGCCACCTCACTTGGGAGGAAGCACAAGCACGAGGGTTTCCCATCCACGCGTGGTACGGCAACAGCCAGGTGGACTAGCTCGCAGAGAAAGCATTCCACGAACACGACATCGGCGACGCCCAAATGTCATGCTACGACTGGGGTAACGCCACGGCAGGACTTGCACGACGCCGCATCGCCGCCGGCACAGTCGACGCCATAGACCGACGCCCAACAGGGGACCACGGAGTGCGAGCAGCACGAAGAGCCCAGTGAAAGCAACGACGGGCACAGCAAAGACGGCGACGGGACTACTTTGCCGACGGGCCACCACAGCCTAACGGACGACGCCCACTCGCCACCCACGACCTGGCGAGGCCACGACGTGGGAAAGGATATGGAAGTGTTGCACGCAACGAGTTGGACGTGACACCCGCTTCGAAAGTGTGCAGACTTGGTTCCAACAGGGCTGCGCTGGACCACCACCGAGCCAAGGGCACTCCATCACACAGCACGGCCACACTGCACACCACAGTCACCCACTCATCCACATACGTGCAGAGAAACGCTGGGTCTACAGACAATGTGGTGCCACTACAACGGAGTACATCTCAGGAAAGATGCGCACATAATGCAAAGGACGCCCTGGGTACAACAGCCTCATATACAAGCTGCAACGTTGGCCTGACATCGCAGCGCGTGAGTCCAGCACCCACAACCAACCCGACGGCAGCGACGGACACAGCACAGACATGCCCAGCGACGACGCCCAGCCAGAGACACACAGAAGGACAGCAACCAGTACAGCAGCGTGGCGACATTGAGCACCAGCAGCACGACGTTGCGTCCAGCACCAGCGCCAGCAGCAGCACCGCACATCGGCGTTGAGGGGGAGGACGATCACTCCCTGCGTCCACATGCGGGGGCAGTTGGGAAGTCAGCGAGGAGATGCAGTTGAAGGCCCTCACCCGCGGAACCTGACTGCCCCAACCCAGCAAGACGAGTCGCGCAGCCGACGCAGTGCCGTCGCGGAGAGGGGCGACACCCCAGTTCATCTCCAGCAGCACCACCTCCAGCCTCAGCGACAGCTGAGGAAAGCGCCGAGGAGAGGAGAAGGAGATGGGCGCAGCGACTCCTCAGCGCGGCGACCGGCCAGCAGCGCAACGGAGAGCAGCAGCACGACGACGACCAGCACGACGCGCAGCACCCACGGCAGCAACGCCCACCGTGACCAGCACGTTGACAGCTGCACCACTGTGACCAGCACGACGAGCAGTGTGACTGGGCTTCGCGATGCAGCAACTGCCACCTTCCCTGGAAGGCATGTCGTGCAGGGTGCCCAGCACTCACGTGCTGGGGGCGCTGCGCGGGGTGCTGAGGATCTCGGGGGGCGCAGAGGGCGCGCCCGGCCCCGAGACTCCACGCGCCTCCGCAAGACGCGCGCGGAGAGGTGGGTGGCCCCCAGGGGCGCGGTTCACCCGGGCCGAGCCGCGGCCCGCGCGGGGCGGACTGCTCCAACCCAGCATGACGACGCTGTTGCGGGGTGCAGTGCCGTCCGCGGGCTGGGACGAGACTCCAACGCCACCGCCAGCCCCAGCGACAGCAGCGAAGAGCGACGAGGAGAGAAGGAGGAAATGGGTGCTACGACTCCTCGGCGCGGCTACAAGCCAGCAGCGCAACGGAGAGCAGCAGCGCAACATCGACCAGCAAGACGCGCAGCGCTCACGGAAGCAGCGCCACCGTGACCAGCACGTCGACAGCAGCGCTACTGTGACCGGCGCGACGCGCAGTGGGACTGGACTGGACGATGCAGCTACTGCCACCTTCCCTGGAAGGCATGTCGCGCAAGGTGCCCAGCACACGCGTGCTGGGGGCGCTGCACGGGGTGCTGAGGATCTCGGGGGTGGACCGTGTCCCACGCAGAGGGCGCGCTCGGCCCCGAGACTCCACGCGCCTCCGCAAGACGCGCGTGGAGAGGTGGGCGGCCCCCAGGGGCGCGGCCCGCCCGAGCCGCGGCCCGTGCGCGGTCCGCGCGGGGCGGCCGCCGCGGGCGATGCCCGGTGGATAGACAGCCATCGCGGCTGGGGGGGAACTCTTCGGGAACTCCTCCTCCTCCTCCTCCTCCTCCTCCTCCTCCTCCTCCTCCTCCTCCTCCTCCTCCTCCTCCTCCTCCTCCTCCTCCTCCTCCTCTCCTCCTCCTCCCCTCCCCCCCTCCTCCTCCTCCTCCTTCTCCTCCTCCTCCTCCTCCTCCTCCTCCTCCTCCTCCTCCTGTGCGCCGCTGCCGCCGCCCATCGGCAGAGGCCCGCAGGGAAGGCGCGGCCGCCTTCGCTTCTGCCCCCTTTGCCCCTGGAGGGCCCGCGCCGGGGGAGGCCCCCCGGCAGCCCCAGGGTCGCCATCGAGCCGGGGGGGGGGCGTCCGGCACGGCGGCGGCATGCTGCTTGAGAGGGGGCTCTCCAGGTGCCTCTGAGGCTCCCAGTGGGGGCGCCCCCACATCCACAGGGGAGGGGGCGGGCGAGGATGGACGGGAGGATGGTGGGCGTCAGGCGTCAGGCGATCGCAAACATGGACCAAGGGGACGTGGATTAGCGACGGGTCCCGTTTCCATGGGAAACCGTGGATTTCCGCTGCCGAGAAGGGCGGCACCAACCACATTTTGGGGAGGGTACCTCCCCCGATCCATGGATTTGGCGACCGCGCGCCAAATCCATGGATCGCTAATCCATGTTTGCGCGCCCCCGAGGTGGAAGGAGTGGGAGAGGTGCTGGGTGGATTGGTTGGGAGACTGGGAGAGGGACAGGGTCGGGGGAGGCGGGGGTTGGGTGGATGGGGGAGGCGGAAGCAGGCGGGAGGGGGAAGAGAAGAAGCGGTTGCAGCAAGAGCCTCTCAGGGAAGATGCGGGCTGCCCGAGGTCCTCGCGTTCGAGAAGTCGCTCGACACTGTCGACGGGATGGACGTACCCGGCATGGTCGCGGCTGGCATGGAGACAGCGGGGGGAATTTGCAATTCAGCGCGAAACGGGGGAGGCCGAGGAGACGTTGCAGGAGGAGGCCGAAGAGGCGGTCAAATGAGGAGGACGCGGAGGACGAGGAAGACACGTTGCGAGCGGAGGTGAAGAGTAATGGAATTTGGTGGTAGAAGACCCTGGACGCGGAAGTGGCGAAGTCAGAGGCAGAGGAATTTACGGGATGGGTTCCATCATGACGTGTGGAGGCCGACGTGCCAAGAGTGATATGGGGAGTGGGAGGACGAGGACGACAACGAGGGGCATCATGAGGATGAGGATTTGCCTGATGAGGGGAGGAGGAAGGGGAAAAGGTCCAAATATCAGCATTCCATCGTACGCATGTCGCATCTTTCCCAGCCATCCTGTGGTTTTGGATCCTCGTTTCGAAGAGACAGCGCCCCACGTTCCTCTTTCCTCCTTCCTTCCTTCCTTCCTTCCTTCCTTCCTTCCTTCCTTCCTCCCTCCTCCCGCTCCTCCCATCCCTTTTACCCCTCACACGGTTCGTGGCCCCATAGGGAGCTCCACCGAAGGCCAAAGTGCTACCGCCCGCATGCGCCCCCCCCACCCAGTACAGCGTTTCGTGGCCCCGTAGGGAGCTTCATCGAAGATACCAATGCTACCGCCCGCATGCGTCCCCCCCACACAGTACAGCGCTTCGTAGCCCCATGAGGAGCTCCAGCGAAGGTAAAAGTGCTACCGCCCGCATGCGTCCTGCCCCCCACCCAGTACAGCGTTTCAGGCCCCACAGGGGGCTCCAGCGAAGGCCCCAGTGCTACCGCCCGCATATGCCCGCATGCGTCCCCCCACCCAGCACAGCGTTTTGTAGCCCCACCGGGAGCTCCACCGAAGGTCCCAGTGCTATCGCCCGCATGCGTCCCCCCCACCCAGTACAGTGTTTCCTTGGCCCCATAAGGAGCTGCACCGAAGATCCTAGTGCTACCGCCCGCATGCGTCCCCTCCACCCATGACAGCGTTTCGTGGCCCCGTAGAGAGCTCCACCGAAGGTCCCAGCGCTACCGACCGCGTGCGCACCCCCCCAGCCATTACAGTCTTTCAGGCCCCAAAGGGAGCTCCACCGAAGGCCCCAGTGCTACCGCCAGCAAATGCCCGCATGCGTCCTCACCACCCAGTGCAGTGTTTCCTTGGCCCCGTAAGGAGCTCCACCGAAGCTCCCAGTGCTATCGCCCGCATGCGTCGCCCTGCTCACTGTTTGGTGGAGGTGTCCGTGCCGTCGTTTGGCTCCGCCTCCTCCACCCCTGGCCCTTCTGAATAACTCTCCCCTCTCGTACCCCGAGGACGGTCTCCCTGTCGCCTGAGATTCCCTCAACATGCCTGATCTTGAAGCTTAGACATTTGCAACAGTTTCACGGACGGAGGGCGGGCTGTTTTCACATTGTGGTTCTGGCCTTAGCGACGCGCGCATTCGCTTGACAAGCTTGCAGCAGCTTCACGGATGAAGGGAGGGCCATGTTCAAATAGCGGTTCGTGCATTAGCGCCGCGCACATTCGTTTACAACATTCGCAGCAGTTTCACGGATTGAGGATTTGTGGTTTCCAATTTGTGATTTTCTTATTGCATACCTAGGCTCTGCCTAGAAGGGTTCTTACCTTGTGTGCTTAAAGGGCCGGGCACCGGGCCTCGCCCCAGGCGGTTCCCCCAGGATCCGCCCCGCGGTTCCCCCAGCTGCGCCCCCTTACCTTAGCTTTGCGTATCTCATCGTAGCTTAGCTTAGCTTAGTTTAGCTTCATCTTAGCTTCGCTTGGCTGCAGCTTAGCTTAGCTTAGCATATCATAGCATAGCCCAGCATAGCATAGCACAGCGCAGCATAGCATAGCATATCATAGCATAGCATAGCGCAGCATAGCACAGCATAGCATATCATAGCGCAGCATAGCATAGCATACCATAGTTTAGCATAACATAGCACAGCCTAGCGTAGCATAGCATAGCGCAGCATAGCGCAGCATAGCATAGTATAGCATAGCATAGCATAGTGTTGCATAGCACAGCATAGCATAGCATAGCATAGCAGCAAAGCAAAGGCAACGCAACAGCAGCAACAGCAAAGCAAAGCACAAGCAACGCAAAGCAAAGCAAAGCTAATCAAAAGCATTATAGCCGGAGTGCAGTATCCCCAAACAAGGTTTTTAGACCCAATGCGGTTTCCAAGGTCGATTGCGTGCCCGTCCAGTACGGGCTGGCATGGCATGTTAAAACATGCCTCCTCCTCCTCCTCCTCCTCCTCCTCCTCCACCTCCTCTTCATCCCGAATGGCATCTCGGAGCCCAGAGTTGCGAGGATGTCTCCAGCGTAACGGGCTGGACCACCTCGCGCGCGGCATTTCGGACCCCAGAGTTGCGACGATGTCTCGGGCGAAACGTGCTGCGAGGAAGTCTCAGGCGAAACGGGCCGGACCACCTCGAGCGCGGCGTCTCAGAGCTCCGAGTTGCGGGGGCCTCCTGGGGCCTCCTGGGACCTTCTGGTGACCTCTGAAGCCTCTTGGGGCTCCCAAGGGGGGATATCTAACATGTGGCCGTCGGGGCCCCCCCAAATGGGGGGGGGGGCCACAAGAGCAGGAAAAATCAATGAATCGGCACCGGATTTGTATTAACTTGACACGTTCTGATAGGGGGCCTCCTGGGGCCTCCTGGGAGCCTCCTGGGAATCTCCTGCGGACCCCTGGGGCCTGTCCTGGGCGTCCTGCGGCCTCCTGAAGCTCTCTGGGGCCTCCTGGGGCTCCCAGGGTCCCAGGGGGGATATGTAACATATGGTCTTCTGGGCCCCCAGGCTGGACCACCTCTTGCGCGGCATCTGGGAGCTCAGAGTTGCGAGAATGTCTTGTGCGAAACAGGTCGGACCACCTTGCGCACGGCATCTCAGAGCTCAGAGTTGCGAAGACGTCTCAGGCGAGATGGGCCGGACCACCTCGCGCAGGGCATCTCGGAGCCCAGAGTTGCGAGGATGTCTCCAGCGTAACGGGCTGGACCACCTCGCGCGCGGCATTTCGGACCCCAGAGTTGCGACGATGTCTCGGGCGAAACGTGCTGCGAGGAATTCTCAGGCGAAACAGGCCGGACCACCTCGAGCGCGGCGTCTCGGAGCTCCGAGTTGCGGGGGCCTCCTGGGGCCTCCTGGGGCCTCCTGGTGACCTCCTGGGGCTTCCTCCTGGGCTTCCTGTGGCCTCCTGGCCCCCCCCCCCCAAAATGTGGGGGGGCCACAAGAGCAGGGAAAATCAACGAATCGGCACCGGATTTGTATTAACTTGACACGTTCTGCTGGGGCCTGTCCTGGGCGTCCTGCGGCTTCCTGAAGCTCTCTGGGGCCTCCTGGGGCTCCCAGGGTCCCAGGGGGGATATGTAACATGTGGTCGTCTGGGCCCCCAGGCTGGACCACCTCTTGCGCGGCATCTGGGAGCTCAGAGTTGCGAGAATGTCTTGTGCGAAACGGGCCGGACCAACTTGCGCACGGCATCTCAGAGCTCAGAGTTGCAAGGATGTCTCAGGCGAGACGGGCCAGTGTCTCGGGCGAAACGTGCTGCGAGGAAGTCTCAGGCGAAACGGGCCAGACCCCCTCGAGCGCGGCGTCTCAGAGCTCCGAGTTGCGGGGGCCTCCTGGTGCCTCCTGGGGCCTCCTGGGGACCTCCTGGGGCTTCCTCCTGGGCCTCCTGTGGCCTCCTGAACTCCACCTGGGGTTTCCTGAAGCCTCTTGGGGCTCCCAGGGGGGATATCTAACCTGTGGCCGCTTGGGCCCCTCAAAATAAAGGGGGGCCACAAGAGCAGGAAAAATCAACGAATCGACACCGGATGTGTATTAACTTGGCACGTTCTGATAGGGGGCCTCCTGGGGCCTCCTGGGAGCCTCCTGGGAATCTCCTGCGGACCCCTGGGGCCTGTCCTGGGCGTCCTGCGGCCTCCTGGAGCTCTCTGGGGCCTCCTGGGGCTCCCAGGGTCCCAAGGAGGATATGTAACATATGGTCTTCTGGGCCCCCAGGCTGGACCACCTCTTGCGCGGCATCTGGGAGCTCGGAGTTGCGAGAATGTCTTGTGCGAAACAGGCCGGACCACCTTGCGCACGGCATCTCAGAGCTCAGAGTTGCGAGAATGTCTTGTGCGAAACGGGCCGGACGACCTCGCGCAGGTCTCAGCGTTCAGAAGTTCGAGGATGTCTCAGGCGGGCTCCCAGGGTCCCAGGGAGGATATGTAACATGTGGTCTTCTGGGCCCCCAGGCTGGACCACCTCTTGCGCGGCATCTGGGAGCTCAGAGTTGTGAAAATGTCTTGTGCGAAACAGGCCGGACCGCCTTGCGCACGGCATTTCAGAGCTCAGAGTTGCGAGGATGTCTCAGGCGAGACAGGCCGGACCACCTCGCGCAAGGCATCTCAGAGCTCAGAAGTTCGAGGATGTCTCAGGCGAAACGGGCCTGACCACCTCTCGCGCGGCATCTCCGAGGTTAGAGTTTTGAGGATGTCTCAGGTGAAACGGGCCGGACCACCTCGCGCAAGGCATCTCAGAGCTCAGAGTTGCGAGGATGTCTCAGGCGAAACGGCACGGACCACCTCTCGCACGGCACCTCGGGGCTCAGAGTTTCGAGGATGTCTCAAACGAAACGGCCAGGTCCACCTCTCGCGCGGCGTCCCGGAGCGCAACTTTCGGAGGATGCCTCAGGCGAAACTGCCAATCCCGGCCAACTCAGAAACGAGAGTTGTGAGGATGTCTCAAGCGAAACGGCCCAGACCATCAAATTTTTGTGAGGATGTCTCTGCTCCGACTTCCCTCGGCCAGAGTTAGCTTCTATCACAACAGCACCCCGATCAGCAAGCTGTTTGTGGGAAAAGCAAAAGCAAATCAACGGACAGGCAACGCAAAAGCAATGTGCGACAGTACGATTAGAGAGCCCACCCGGTGAGCGAATGCAAAAACATGCGTGTGTGTGCGAAGGCAAAGCAAAAGCAAAACCACGCAAAAGCAAAAACAAGCAAAAGCAAAGGCAACTACGACGATGAGGAGAAGGAGGAGGACGGCGTTTACCGCTACTACTAATAATGCTTTCCTAGGGGCTCCAACTCCTAGGTAGGGTCGCACTGGGATAATTAGTGCCGCGCACATTCGTTTCACAAGTTCGCACTAGCTGCACGGATGATGGAGGACGGCTCTTGTTCAACATGTGTTTCGCGTTTGCAGCGCTGCGCACATTCGTCTTACGAGCTTGCAGCAGTTTCGAGGATGCTGATGGTTGACTTCCCAGAATCAGTTTGTTGGCACGATGTCGGGCTGTCAGGGCGTAACAGTTACGTTGCTTCGCGGTGTGAAGTCCCAGAAATCGTGTCCTGGCACGATTCAGGATCATCAAGACGCAGCAGCAGTGGTGATTGGTGGCGCTGAAGTCCCAGGAATGGTGTTCTGGTACAGTTCGGAATTTCCAAACGGTTGTCTTCCGACGGGGCCTTTGAAGTGGCCTATGAAGAGGCAATTTGGAAGGATGGTGTATTGCAATATCGTGGATGAGTCTCGGGTTTACGCTGGCCCTCGTCCTCCTCCTCTTCCTTCTCCTGCTTCTCCTGCTTCTCCTCCTCCTCCTCCTCCTCCTCATCCTCATCCTCGTTCTCCTCCTTCTCCTCCTCCTCCTCCTCCTCCTCCTCCTCCTCCCTCTCTTCTTCCCTCTCTTCCTCAGGCGGGGTGAGAGGAGGAGGAAGCACGGCGGGCAGCAGCAACTCCGCCCCCCCCCCCCACAGCGCGCCGCGCTGCCGCCGAAGCGGAAGCTGAAGCTGTGGCACGCCGAAAAGCAGGACGTCGGGAGGGAGGCAGAAAAGGGTTAGGTCTACCCACGCCCCCCTCGAGGGGGAGGAGATGGAGGGGGGTGGGGAGAGAAGCAGGACGAGGAGGAGGAGGTGGGTGAGGAGGAGGAGGAGGAGGAGGAGAAGGCGCTCAGCGCAGATTAGTCGCAGCGCCGTCCCCGCCGTCTTGTCGCATCTTCTCCTCCCCCCGTCCCCCAGGGGCCGCTGGGGAAAATAGCTACCCCGCGCCCAGCGGGGTCCTCCATGTGCCACGTCCACGTCTTCTTTATCATACGGGCTCTCTTTGATCACCCCCCCAAAGGGCGCCCGCCCCTGGGGGGGTGATGACAGCATCCTTGGAGGATGCCAGTGCCTGCGCCCAGCGCCCAGGAGGAGGGTGGCGAGGCGAGAGAAGGAGGGATGCTGTCTTTTAACTGTCCGCTCGGCTGCTGTCTTGGTGTTAGGAAGCTCGAGGTTGACGATGCCGAAGACGACGCCGAGGAAGGCGGGGAGAGCGAGAAGGAGGCGGCGGCGGTTCGGGAGTTCTTTCAGGGGGGGAAGGGGGCATCTAGGTGTGGTGTGCTTGAGTTGGCCCAGTGTTGCCACAGTCAGCCCCAAGGTCGCGGCCCAATGTGGACGCAAGGACCCCGACATGGACCCGAGTCCCTGCGTGATTCCTTTGGCCCCCCCCTGGGCTGGAAGTGGAAGTCGATGGAGACGAACTACTCTGGAGCCTAGCGCGACGGACAAAAAACCCGAGACGGTGCCCTAAGCCCCAGACTGAGGACAGAGAATGAAAGCCCCCCCTGGGCCCCAGGGAAGTGGAAGAAGCAGAGAGTCATTGGCCCAAGCAAGAGCCCAGACAGCGCCAACGACCCCGAATTCCACCCAAAGCCACAGCCCAACAGCCGCTGTCTTGGGTAGTGAGTGCTCCGCGTCCGCCACTCCGCACGACGCCCGCCGCCCCATCCCCCTCTGCGTTCCTGGGACATCCCCCGCCGCTTGGGGGCTGGGGGGGCATGCTTTCGGCGAAAACCGGCGCTGGGCGCAAAGGGTTTGCCCCCCCCGCCCCGGCCATCATCGCAGCGTGGGCCCAGACGAGCGTTGACGGTCCAAGATGGGCACGATATCAGAAAGACCCAACGACATGTGAAATCAGATGTTGGGTCGCTTGGACCATGGGCAGCCCTGGCTTGCCCCCTGGGTGGAGCCGAGAGGGAATGAGCAGGAACCAAAACCGACCTCTCAGGTATGGAACCCAGGGAGGATTGAGCAGTTCCGCCCCCACTCCATATCCGAACTCCATGAGAGAACTATGAAAACGTGGCACTATCCGCCAGCACCCGAGCATATGGGCACAAGGCCCCCCCCGAGCAATACCCATGAGAGGGCGCCCTCCTGGGGATGGTGTGGGTTAGCTGCCCCCAGAAGGGATACGTCGTACTTGACGCGGCTGCTCAGCCGCTGGGGGATCAGCAGCTCGCCCGCCAAACCGACCCCCTGGCCCACGCACCCCACGAACCGGGGGAAGGAGGAGAGGAGGGGGAGGGCGGGGAGGAGGGGAGGAGAGGATGGGGAGGAGGAGGGGAACGGGCCAGGGGGTGGATTGATACAGCCGCTGTGCCACTGCCCTCATATTCACATCGACTTCGACACATGACTGTAAGAACCCCTGACAGGCTGAGACTCTGGGAGGCCCTCTGCTCCATGTGTCTGTACCAGGTGACCCTTGAAAGGAAGAGGCTTCATTTCGACTCGATTACGACATGGCTCACGTTTGCTGGGTTTGCTGGGGCCGAGGTGGCAGAGGCTGGTTGGGGGAACAGCCTCTGAAGGAAAATCCCTTCGCCAACGTGATGCACCAGCCATGCGGTGGGGTCCTCCGACCCTATCCGCTCGAGCTTCATGTGAGCGAGCGCCCTCCAGGTAGGAGATGGGAGGAGAGGGGGGAGAGAGAGGTGTGGTTTCTTCCTCTCCCCCGCCCTCTCCTCCGGAGACGTCAGAAGCCGCCTCCCGATCCTCCTTCTGTGTGGGTTGTGGGGCGGTCAGGGGGATGGAGGAGGAGGACAATGACAGTAACCCTTTGTTTTGCAACCTTTTGAAAGCATCCGATAACCTCCCCCCCTCCTCACCCCGCTGGAGCAACCAATAAGCATCAGTAGGACCTAGAGCATCTCGGAGCCTTTCTTCAAAAGCTTTCAGCAGAAGAGCAACACAGTATCCTCATCCTCCGCCATTCTCCCTCATCCCTCCTTTCCCATCCGTTCCCCTCATCCTTGAAAATATCCAGATTCTGTTGGAAACTGGATGAAATCGGGGAGGACGTATGGATCCCACCGAACACCGAATGACATAACACCGAGCATATGTGTCCTGCAGTCCCTCTTCTCTCCCTCCTCCCTCTTGCCCCTCTTCTGCGACGCTGGCGATGGCGACAACGGCGACGCCAGACATACAGGATCTACTGATTTTATTCGTTGGCCGCTCCCGCCGATCGACCCCATCCTGGGAACTTACTTTCGTCTCGAATTGCTTTTAGCGCCGCCCCCCCTCTCACCCCCTCGAGGCAGACACATCGGGGACACACACGCCTGGATCGCCCCTTGATCCTTCGAGTTTCGTGTAATGCACCCTGGTCCTTCGAGTTTCGTGTAATGTGGCTCCTCGCGCCATCCGCCGTGGCCTTGAACTGCGGCTGGCTCCCCGGAACATTCCTGGGTTGCGTTGGGTCCGAATCTCGAGGCGGATTTTGCCATGCGGCGACGAGAACGCCGAAGGTTCCGAAGGGACGGAAACAAGAACAAAAAGCACCTGGATCGCCCCAAGCGCGACGTTGGAGGCCGGGGGACGTCCGACGCCAAAACGACGCCGGGAGCAGGCCCCCGACAGCGTCTCCTACGGCTGCGACGGCGAGCTGTTTCGGTACCCCGTCTGCGAGGCTACGGCGCCTGGCAAGCGACGGGGGAGGGACGGGGGAGCCATGGGGAGAACCTGCTGACGGGTGCCTGCGCACGTTGCTGGGACCGCATGTTGGTTCCCCACCCGAGGCACGGTGGTTTCCAGTATCCACCCGTTGGGATCTCAGGCGATCGCAAACATGGATCAAGGGGGCGTGGATTAGCGGCGGGTCCCGTTTCCGTCGGGAATCGCGGATTTACGCCGCCGAGCGAGGCGGCACCCGCCGCATTTAGGGGAGGGCACCTCCCCCGGTCCATGGATTTGTCGATTGCGCGCCAAATCCATGGATCGTTAATTTATGTTTCCCGCGCCCCCGATGACGGATGCCTACACACGTTGGTGTGACCGCATGTTGGTTCCCTACCCGAGGCACGGTGGTTTCCAGTATCCACCTTGCCACTGGGGCCTTCGGCGGAGCTGCCTATGTGGCCACGAACCGTGTGAGGGGTGCAAGGGATGGGAGGAGGGAGGAGGATGAGAAAGGAAGGAAGGAGTGACGTGGGGCGCTGTCTTATGAAAACGAGGACCCAGCACCACAGGACGGTTTGGAATAGTAAGCGGAGCTCCATATTGGACCACGAAACGTGTGAGTGTGTGCCGATGTGCGCGGGGAGCCGCATGCGAGCGCAGCCACTGAGGCCTCAGGTGGAGCTCCCTACGGGGCCACGGAACGTGTGAGGGGTGTGCCGCAATGGGCATGCAGTGGGCACAGACAGGGATGGTAATGAGGGAGCGGGTAGCGGCAGGAGTGAAGACGCGGGGCGCAGTCTTCCAACACGAGGATGGTCCATGGTTGTTCTGCCCTTTTCGGAATCCTGTTTGGAGGTGCTCTTGGAGCGTCTTCGGGGTCTCGTGGGCCGTCTTGAGGCTATCCTGGGCATCTCGGGGTGCTCTTCTGCCGCCTCGGGGCCCTCGTGAACTGTTTATGGAGGCCTCTCGGGGCCCTGTTGGCAAGTGTTGGGGCCCTCTTGACCGCGCGAGGAGCCGCAGAAGCGACCAAGAGCGCTCAGACCAGTAGGAAACCGACTACAGACTCGATGTACCGCAGAATTGTTTCTCCGCCGAGTCTTCGTAGATCTACGCATATCCGTCGTGTGTTTCGCACGTTCGACGACAAGAAGTGAATTTTGCATTGTGACGGCCGGCGTCGTTCAAAAAACCAACGCGCCACTCAGCGCCATTCAGCGCCACTCAGCGCCACTCACGCCACTCAGGGCCAGTCAGCGCCACTCTGCGCCACTCAGCGCCACTTCGCGCCACTCGGCCATTGAATGGCGCAGAGCGGCGCTCTGTGGTGCTGAGTGGCGCAGAGTGGCGTTGAGTGGCGCAGAGTGGCGCAGAGTGGCGCTGAGCGGCGGCGTCGTGCGGCGGCGCGTCTGTGGCGCGAACTGGTGCTGAGTGGCGTTGAGCGGCGCTGTGCTGAGTGCTCAAGACGGCCCAAGAGCGCTCCAAGAGAGCCCAAGACCGCCCACGACGGCCCAAGAGCCCCCAAGAGGCCCCCAAGAGGCGCCCAAGGGGCGTCCCAAGAGGGCCCCAAGAGGCCAAAGTCATCGATTTTCCAAAGGGAAACATATTTGTTTAGCATATACGGCTTTTCGCCTTTCACGGCGTTAACGACGGCCCAAGAGGCCCCCAAGACCGCCCCAAGACGGCCCAAGAGGCTCCCAATAGGCCCCCAAAACGGCCCAAGAGGGCCCCCAGACGGCCCAAGAGGCGCCCAGACGGCCCAAGAGGGCCCCAAGACGGCCCCAAGAGGGGGACCACGAACAGAAAAGTCTAGCGTGTCGCCCCAAGACGCTCCCGGGAGGCCCCCACAGCCCCCCAAGAAGCCCCAAGAGGCGTCCCACGAGGCCATCAGGATGCCAAAATCATAGATGTTCTATGGGTAAACGTACATTTTTAGCATGCACGGCTTTTCGGCTTTCGCGGCGTCGACGACGGTCCAAGAGGCCCCCACGACCGCCCCAAGACGGCCCAAAAGGCTCACACGAGGCCCCCAAAACGGCCCAAGAGGGCGCATCGGAGGCCCTTGGAAATCTCTTAAAGGCAGTTTAGAGGGTTTCTTATGTCTCTCTTGGGCCTCCTGGGGGCCTCTTGGACCCCCTCCCAGCACTTCTCACAGCGCGGACCAGATTGACATCCATATCCACTGAATCTTGGACTTTCTGGGAGGGGGCGCCACAGTGCCGAGGCGCAGTGCATGCGGATCAGAATCTAGCATTTTGGGGGGCCTGACTGGCCTGCCGATTCCCGTCGATTCCTTTTCTCCCGACCTGGCTGCCGATCTCCGCCGATCCGAGTCAGTTCGAGCGCCGATCCGACTGGTCGATTCCATCGTGTGCTCTCACGCGAGGCCAGCGCCCCCGAACCTGGATAGAGTTGAGCGAGGCTGAACTCGTCCTGCGTGTGTCATTGCCTGTCGGGCTGCATGGCCTCCGCGGCTCGCTGCGGGTGTCGATTAGTCACCCCTATCCTCCTCCTGGGGTCGCAGGTGGTGCCTCGCCCCAAAACGCTTCCACGACAAATCAAGCCGCTTAGAAAAGACGGAAACGCGGAGATACACCCCCAGGGGGGGCTCTTCGGACGCGTCTCCATCGAGGATGGACACCCCCCATCGTATATCCCCGATTTGGGCCCCAAAGCGTGCGTCTGATGGACAACCCCACAAAGTCGGGATAAAGGGTCGACGCATCCTTTACAGTCGGTCCTGAATAGTAGGTCGACCCTGCCAAATCAGCGATACCCTCGCGTCTTGTGTCTCGCAACCCATGCCTCCGACATTCCTGTGGCAATGTGACCCTCGGAGGTGTCTTGTGTCCTCTCGCGTGTCCTGTCTAACCAAGTCTGACTGTTCCCCAATCAGTGCTTGCAATGCAGGGGTCCTAGCGGAAATTGAAAGATTTGGCGAAAGTTTCGCCGATTTTGGTGGCCAGTTGGGTTCCTGGGTTCCCGGGTCCGAGTTCCCGGGTTCCTGGTTATTTGTTCCGTGCCGACTTCGGTGGGTTCCGGGTTCTGGGCTCCTGGTCGATCTTATCGATCTCTTTACCGATCCCATGTCAAACCATCCATTGATTGGGGTTTTTCCCTGGTGTAATTTAACATCTTCCACCCCGGGGTGGAACGCTGCAGGCAGGGAGGGCCCAGAGGAGGGCCCAGAGGAGGAGGGCCCAGAGGAGGAGGGCCCAGAGGAGGAGGGCCCAGAGGAGGAGGGCCCAGAGGAGGAGGGCCCAAAGGAGGAGGGCCCTTGCGAGGCCAGCGGCTGCGGCACCGCGCTGCAGCCGATGGGCGCCGTCGTGCCCTTCGAGGCGCCCCGCCACGGCGCCGGGGCGGCACGCTGCAGCGCGGTTCCGAACCCCCTCGTCGTCCTTCCTCTCTCGCCTCCCTCCTCCCTCCTCCCTCCTCCTCCTCCTCCTCCTCCTCCTCCTCCTCCTCCTCCTCCTCCTCCTCCTCCTCCTCCCTTTCTGACGTTGCCCGGACCTTATGCGTCTGCATGTGGCGTTCTTGACGTACGGCACGAACAACGAGCCACGACTTGGCACACAAGTACCTTGCGGGCGCCGCGGGACAGGAGGTTAACGAATGGCGGAGAAGAGTAGAACAGTTGGTAGGCGCCCGCCAGGTACTGGAAGCATCACGTACCTTAGTAAAACACAGTCCAAACCTCAAAAACCGTTTCCGAATAGAATTGGTACACATTGCCTGCGACTTTAAAACAGACAGGTATCTTGTGCCGCTGGGACTTGCTGATGCGAGTAGGATGTCACATACTGTAGACTGGCCAGTGGTGTTGGCTGGCCTTGGTGCTGCAAGCCTGTTGCGAGACGAAAGTATGCTGATGGCCTCATCTGGGAGGTCAGATGCACAGTGTTTTGCGGTAGCCTTAGGTAGGTAAAAGTTTCGCAATGCAAGCAAGTGTTCCATCACCATCGCCCCACCCCCACCTAACAGCAATCCCCCGCCACCCCACAACGTCCAGATGAGAGTAGGCAATGTGCACTGAGTAGGGCACTGCTCTGCGGAACCTGCTGCATTGCCGTGCGAGCAGTAAGCCACCGCCTGGTTGGCTGGCCAGTGGTATTAGCTGGCCTTGGTGCCACATACTCCAGGTTGGAGGTTAAAAACAAGCAAGCGGGGCGGTCCTTGGGTCGCCGCCCAGGGTTTCACGGTTCACACCAGGTTTCTTGGGACCCAGGACCCTCTTGTTTTGTTGTCCGTTCTTGTCGGGCTTCGAACCCACAATACCTGAAGGGGGCCATGTTGGTAGGCTGGCCAGAATGGTTGGCCTGTCTGTTGGCCTAAGCAGCTGAAAGTATGCATTCAGGCTGGCATGTGAGGCTGGCTTGTCAGGCGGATGGGGCTCGCCCTGCACAGTGGGATAGGGCCCGAACTGTGGCCCTGGAGCTGCAGGAGTCAGAATGAGGTCAGGAGGAACGATGCGGCAAATGCGAGTATAATGATCCGGACTGTAGGCGGCCTGTGATGCTGGCTGGCCTTGGTGCTAGCCTGCGGCGAGAAACGATGCATTGTGATGTCCTCCGATGGGAGGTCGGATGCCCAGGGCTTTGAGGTAGCCCTGGGTAGGTAAAGGCTGAGCGCTGCACGCAAGTGTTCCTTCTCCCCCACTGCGTCAGCCCAACATACTCCCGCCACTCCTCGACTACCATATGAGAGCAGGCAATGTGCAGTGAGCAGTGCACTGATGCGGTAACTGCTATACCAGTGCGATTAATAAGCCACCGATTGGTGGATTGGCCAGTGGTTTCGCCTTAGGGCTGCCAGCCTGTGGCAACACACATTGTATCTGGATGTTCTCCCCTCAGGAGCGGCGCACTGAGCAAGAGCTTTGTATAAAAAGAGGTCTCGCCATGTAGGCCAGGGGGAATTGTGACGGAGTGGGGCATGTGGGAGGCAACCGTAAAGTGATGCAGTGAGTAAAACATTAGCAACAACGATGTGAATAATCAGAAGAGGTGAGGTGTTGCGTCAGAGTAGTGTTGTTGGCCCCCTCGGTCTGCTGAAAGTGAAGATAGAGAGGAGGGGAGGTCAGGAATCAAAGTTCTGTGGTAATCGGCGATGCGGTGGAGCTTTTGGTAGATTTCGGGATCGTATCTGCCCCATACGTCCGATTCGTCATGTACGTCGGGATTGTGCGTGTTTGTAGTTAGTCACATGTTGTTGTTGCCGTCGGTTGGACTGGTCTGATGCTGTTTGGGCGTCGGTGGTACCTGGAAGATGCGTTGGCGGGGCTTGTACGGCGGTACTTCTTCGAACGGTATGTCTTGTTGGAGGTTGCGGATGTTTGCCATCAGCGTCATGGGTGCCAACGTCGAGCCCATCGGCAAGTGCCCCACGAAGCGGCCAGCCATCATGTGCCAAGAGACGGCCCGAGCCTACCAGTATCGGTTCGAGCGCTCATACGCCCTTGCAGCCTCTGAAGGCCAGCCAATGGTTACCAAATGGTTCCTCGAAGCGTTCCACAACGAAAGCTTGTTCGACATAGTTGACCATCGAATGGCGCAATAGTTATGGTGAGGCCAGTCTACCTGAAGCCGCAGACCACGGATACCCATTCAGAAGCAGACGTTACCACCAGCCCCTTTGGGCGCGCAGGGCCAGTGAGAGACCCCTCGTGGGCCTCGGGACGGGGGTCAATGTAAACGCGGGTCAGCCACAGTGCCGGATTTTGCAGGATCCTGCAGAGCGAGGGTTGCATTAAACCGGGTCTGCGCGCAGGATCCTGTAGGATTTTGCAGGTATTTGCAAACCTTGGGTCGGTGCGTCCCTGGACCCTAGGTCACTACTCACGGACACCGCGGCGAGGACTGAGCAATTGAGCCGCCTCCGCCAGGCTTAGGGCAGCGGCTGAACCCCAAACGTGTTTCTCTTCGGCGTGATTGAGAGCTGTGGCAACTACTGAGTGGGTTTTGGCCCCGCAAGTGCGACATCGATCTCCTATTCCATTCTCCTTCCAGTGCTGGTTAGAGTATGGTTTACTTCCGTCCTTCTCCCCTATACCCTGGACAGAGCCGAGCGCCAGCGTGGGGTCGGTGCCCGCGCAGCGCGACGGCCATGACCTGGGCGCGGCCTCGAGGCGCTTCGTGGGAGTGGGGTCGCCGTTCGATGGCTCCTGCGCAGCAGGAGCAGGAGGAATGAGGAGAAGGGGAGAGGGGGAGGAGTACCAGGAGGAGGAGCTGGGATTAGCAGGTGGAGGAGAAACACCATCATCCCCGGGGATTGCGGAACAGGACGAGGATGAACAGTTGTTCGGGGAGGATGGGTATGAGAAAAAGCAGGCGAGGAAGCGGAGCAGCAGCAGCAGCAGGGTGAGGTAGAGGAGCAGATGAAGAACAGGGGAGAACAGGAGGCATGAGAGTATAGGAAGGGTGAGGAGGATTACGAGGGGGGATGGTCATCTTCTCCCCTTTCCGATCCGTTCAGATCTCCGGCAACGTCATCTTTGTCCGAGTCGCTGGCCCCTGGATTTCCCTCGGCCCCTCCCTTGGGACCAGCTTTCCATCCTGAGCCTTTTTTGGGCCTTGAAGCGCGGTCCCCAGCATCGGCGCGATTCTTTCGAGCCGCCAGAGGTCTAGGTCTTTGCTCATCTTCTTCCTCCTCGACCCCCACCCCTTCAAAACAAACATGCACAGACTCTACCGATGCTCTTCCTCCAGCCCCCCAACCCGCCTCCACCGCTCTGAGGGCGAGCGCTTCGCAATGGTTCCTGGCTGCGACCTCCTGGCCTTGTCGGGCGACATGTGCGCGTGGTGGCCCGGGCCTCACACGGCCGCGGCGCAGCCTGATGAGCAGGCGGAGGAGGCGGAGGAGGAGGAGGCGGAGGAGGAGGCGGCGGAGGAGGAGGAGGAGGCGGTCCGTAGCCATTTTGGCTCAAGCCGCGACTTGCCGAAGTGTGCTGCGCAATTCGCGCAACCGTTTTGCCCCCGCGCGCGTACCGCTTCATGTGGCCGTGTGCGCTAATTGTGTGTCAGAGCTCTCTTTGCTCTGCCGTTGCTGAATCTTCGGATTGCTCTGGTGGCGGCGCAGCTTCCCATCCATGTCATCATTGTGCAGCTGAGTGGCGCGGGGCTCGCCTCTACGATTCAGGCGCTGCAACATGTTGGTGTCTCTTATCGTCCGTTGGCTGCTTATGACTTGGCCATTCGATCGAAGCGCCGCGGTATTCATTGCTGGTGGCCTTCCTCGATCTCTATCTGTCGTAACATGGTCTAGTGCTGCTTGTCGACGCCCAAGCCCATCACAATCTCTTTTTATGATGCGCTGGGCTGTGCTGGGGATCTTCGCGCTCCGCCCCAGGAGCTAAGACAGCTGGATTCCTCTGTCACACCGCTTGTTCCCAGGCGGGCGTATGGTTATAGGTGCTCAGAATTGTTGACGCGTCGCGCATCCCCACCAGCCCATCCAACACCAGGTACTCGAACGAAGAGCGCCGATCATCGGCAGTTGTTCTCCTCCTTCTCCTCCTCATCCTCCTCCTCCTTTTCTTCCTCTTCCTCCTGGTGGCGTCTTGGAGGTCTCTTGAGGCGTGTTGGTGGGCTCTTGGGCCTTGTGGGCGGGCGGGCGGCGCCCCGCCCGCCCGCGCGCACGGCCCAAGAGGAGGTTCCAAGACGTCCCTAGAGGCCATCTTCTTGAAGGAGATCGATCAACAAAGGGGGGGTCCTCAATTACGGTCCCCCCTCGGGAGCTCTCCACATCGCCTCTTGGAGCGCTCTTGGGGCGTTCTTGGGCGCTCTTGGGGCCGTCTTGGGGCTCCCTTGGTCCCCTCTTGGGGCTCTCTTGGGCCTTCTTGGAGCCATGTTGTCGCCTCGGATGGGCGTCGGAAGCGCGAAGGCGAGAAAGCTAAACGCATTGATTTTCCCCAGGGTTTTGAAGCATTTTGGCCTCTTGGGGGCATCCTTGGGGAGCTCTTTTGGACACTTGGAGCCATCTTGGGGCGGTCTTGAAGGGTCTTCGAACATCTTCGGAGCCATCTTGAGGCATCTTGCGCTATCTTGAGTCATCTTGGAGGCTATCTTGGGCTCTCTGAGGCCCTCTTGGAGCCAACTTGGGCGAAACACTACCCTCTGACACCTCCCCGCCCCTCCCGTCCAGGTCCACGGGGAGTGGGTAGGGGGAGGGGTAAACCCCTCCCCGAAGGGGAAGAGGGAGGGGTGGAAGAGGAACCGCCCTAAACCATCGACGCCCAGAGGGCTGGTGGGATTACGCCCCCCAGGAGCACCCAACATCGTCTCCTGGACCCATCTTGGAGCGCTCTTGGGCGCTCTTGGGGCCGTCTTGGGGCTCGGTTGGTCCTCTGTTGGGGCGCTCTTTGGGGCTATGTTGGAGGATGTCGGTCAACGAAGGGGGGTTCCTCACTTACGCCCCCCCTCAGGAGCACCCAACATCGCCTTCTGGACCCATCTTGGAGCGTTCTTGTAGCGCTCTTGGGACCGTCTTGGGGCTCTCTTGGTCCCTTATTGGGCCCCTGTTGGGCCATCTTGGAGCGATGTTCAGGCCTCGGATGGGCATCGGAAGCGCAAAAGCGATAACGCCAAACACAGTGATTTTCTAATGGTTTTGAAGCATTTTGGCGTGGTCGGGGCGTCATTGGGGAGCTCTTTTGGCCACTTAGACCCGTCTTGGAGCGGTCTTGGAGCGTCTTGGAGCATCTTCGGAGCTATATCGAGGCATCTTGGGCCATCTTGGACGCTCTACCTACCCGCGGCCCCCCCCGTCCAGGTCCAGGGGTAGGGGGAGGGATACACCCCTCCCCGAAGGGGCAGAGGGAGGGGTGGAAGAGGAAACGCCCTAAACCACCGACGCCCAGAGGGCTGGTGGGATTCAACCATTGCATCCCTAATGGGCCAGCTGGAGCTGTTGCAACTGCAGCGAACTGTCAATTCAGTGCACAAACAGTGACGCTGACGCCAATAATCCCTTCCAGTATAGTCTGGATTTGCCGGAACGGATCTCAGGGATTGAATCGTCGGTGAAAGATTTGGCGGTTCCTTGCCAAATTCAGTTGAGCGAAGCATCGGCAAGCGGCTGCCTGCGAGAAGGGATGTTGTCCGTAAAGGGTCCGTGCAGCTACTGAATTGAAGGCTGGCCGCGATGAAGGCGGACTTGGATATGGTATTTGAAAGCCGCGTGCAGGACCATCTGAACGGCGCTCGGAGACAGATTGGTGATGACGTTGCCAAGCTTGTGGGGGATCTTTCTGCGAAGTTCCCTGCTGCACCTGCCAGATCGAGCGACCCCGACAAGGCGGTGAATGTACGGGTCTGCAGCAGACGTCTTGCAGTTATGAGCTCGGCGTGGTGGGGGGCTTCGACGGTGAACGGGGGAAGGTTCGCCTGCCATCCTTGCGGGCTGGGAAGAGCTTCAAGAAGTCAGACCTCCTACTCGTCAAGGCTGGCCCGCTCAGTGACGGTGACACCGAAGAGACGCTGGACGTGAAGGGTTTCGTGTTTTCGGCCTTGCCGAAGTGCCAGAACCTCGACGGGGCGTGTACAGCATTCGGCTTCTGGTGCACCCTCGTCGACGCTTTCTTCGGGTAGGCGCCCTGGTGACCTCAAACTACCAGGAACGACGTCTACGCGTTCTGCGGCTGACGTGGAGGCCGCTCAAGGAGCTCATGACATCTTTGAGGTTTCGTGCGAGGAGGAGGACGAGGAGGAGGAGGAGGAGGAGGAGGAGGAGGAGGAGGAAGACCACCTCCGCCTCCTCCTCCTCCTCCTCCTCCTCCTCCTCATCATCATCATCCTCCTCGTCCTCCTGCTCTTCCCGCCTGATCCTCCTCGTCCTCATCCCCGTCCCTCCTCCTCTCTCCTCGTCTGATCTTCCTCTATCCACCTCATAGTCCACCTCTTGGGGGCTGGTTGTATAGGGGAGAGGGCAGGGGCGAGCAAGGTGGGTCGGGCGCGTTGCCGCGCTCACACAGAGAGCCATGGCCGGGACCAGGCGTCCTGTCCCTGGCCCCCGTGCCCCTGTTGCTTCCCCGTGTTCCCATTGCTCTCTGGGGGAGCGCGGCGACGCACCCCGTTCGCTAATTGTCGGCCTGTACGTGGTCGTTCCGCCCCGGACACCCAGCTTGCATGGGAGTGCATTCAGCCAGCCGCTAATTGCTGGCCTGGGCGTGCAGGGTTTGCTTGTGACATCCGGAGCAGGCACAGGGTTCGCCGTTTGGGCGGGGTGCTAGAAGAAAGTGGCGAAGCCCACGCCTGACGTGTGCCGAGCCCCGCCCGAAAAATCCTCCGCCTCTTTTCGCTCCTCCTCGTGCTACGCGTTGATCTTCAACACCATGCTATGCCATGTACCGCTCTGCCATGCTACGACATCCGATTGTGCGAACAGAGAGGAGATCTACATCATGGTAAGGGATGGGAGGGAAGGGTAGGACGTCAGCTATGACGCGAGCGCACCTAGCTTGCCTCATCCCCCTCACACCTCCCCCTCGTTCTCCCCATCCCTCTCACACCCCCTCCTCGTTCTCCTCCTCGCTCTCCTCACTATCCTCGCTCTCCTCCTCCTCTGTTCGCTCCTCCTCGCTCTCCTGTGTGTTCTTGCCCCCCCTTCCCCCAGGCCTCACGGAGGGGCTGGGGCCGCCCCTCGGCGCGCGGGGAGCCGAGGCGCGAGCTGGCGGGCAGGAGGCTGCCAGGGTCCCTGGAGGCCGACCTGGTGCGGTGGCTGCAATCCCTCTCGCAGGAGCCCCTTCGCTCGACGAGGCGCAAGAGCGACCCTTCGCCGGAGTGACCTTTGGTGCGGGCCCCATGGGGGTCCCCCGATCGCCGAACGCGATGTGGTCAGTAGCGGCTTGCGCGCTGGTGTGTTGTGTTCCCCGCGGCCCCCCAAAAAGCCGCGCACCAAAGGTCACGCTTACCCGTATGGCCAGGGTCCCGGGTGGGGGGTGCCCGTCAGTGACGGGGCCCCGAAGCCGAGCAGGATGCCGGTACCATTGAACCAGGTTTGCCGTAGCTCGTGTTGTGGGGTGACGTGAGTGCCGGTTCGTGGAATGGGGCGGGGGATCAAGCAGTGGCGAAGCGTCTTGGCTCGCCTATAGGCCCGCCAACAAATGTGCTAAGAACCTTTTGTGGTCTGCACGAAATATTCTTAGAACTGTTCTGGTTGAGTTTGTTTTGTTTTAACACTTCGGGCTTATGTTCTAGGAACACTGTTTTTTCTTAGTGGAATAGCTTTGGGTTCTAAGATAAGGTCGCGGTAGGCCTACAGGAATGCCAGGACGGTCGGTCCCTGCTCAAGGGGGAGGCGGCCACAAGAACACATCACCAAACCTGTTCCCATTGAACCAACCCAGTCCTGCCAATGCCTTCGGGAGACTTTACGGTCGGGTGAGTTACTCTTGGGTGGCGTGTCGCTCTGCCAATTGTGGCCCACCGCGCCCCGGTGCGACACGCTACCCACTTTGCGGTCCATTCCTCCATTCCCAAGCGTCCACGTCCCGAGCCTTTCACGAGCCTCCCGCCCCGCGGAGCGGAGCGACACGCTAGCCACTTGCAAAGCATACCGTGTCGCCGGGGCCGCCGCCGCGACACGCTAAGCAAAAGTTCTCGATCGTAGGTTCGTCCTCGGGATTGATGCTTTTTTATTGAGCCCGACCTGGGTTCGGCGCGGGGTCTGGGAAGATTTGTCGCTGATCCGACGCGGATTCGGCGTGGATTCGACGCAGCGTCGGCGAGTTCGACACGGGGTCGACGCGAACAGCGGCGCGACGGGTCAGGCGCGCAAGAGCTCGCGCGCCTCCCCCTGTCCCAGGAGTTCAGATCAGAGGAGGGAGGCCGGTGCCGCTGCCCCTGGCATCGTGTTCGTCTTGCGGGCAGCTCTTTTCAACCGAGGAAAAACCATCCAGACAGAACAAATGGCGTTTACTAAACGGCCCTGGGCGTTTACTAAAAACAACCCTGCCCTGTTTGATTCCTTCTCTGGGTGCATTTACTAAACGGCTTCGCGTGTCGGGGTGGTTATTATCGGGCTGGAGTTTCTGCCCTCTATCTTTGGGGGGCCTCTTCGCCACGGCTGGATTCGCCTCAGAGGATTGGTTAGAGCGCGCCCAGGGAGAGGGGGGAAGGTCCGGGGAGTGGCGGTGCCGTGATCGTCTTAGCACCCCCGTAGCAGTCCAAACAGCTTCATGTGAACATGAGTTCAACAAGCGCGAAAGAGGCCCTGCGCTGGGTCCCCAGCTGTGGTTCCAGGTGCCTTTCAAAGTTGGTCTCAAAGGGGGTGACCAAGTGCCTTCGACATCCAAGTGGATTTTCAAGTGCCTCCAAATCGGTTATCCAAACCGTTCCTCAAGTACTTCCAACATGGTATTTAAGTGGGTCTCCAAGTGCCTTCCTATAGTTTCTCCACGTGGACCTCAAAAAGGCCTCCCAAGTGCCCAAGTGGCTCTCCAAGGCGGTCTCCAAGTGCGTTCCAAGGGGGTCTAATACGGCCACTTCAACTGAGCCTCCAAGCGAGTCTCGAAGTACCTCCCACATTGATTTCAAAGGGGTCTCCAAGTGACGTCGAAGTGGGTCCATCAGTGGGTCTCTAGGTACCTTCAAAATGGGTCTGAGACCCATTCTGAAGTGCCTCCGCAATGCGTCTCCAAGTGAATCTCCAAGTGAGTTCCCGATTGCATTTCACGTGGGTGTTCAGGTTTTCTAAATTTGGTTCGCACGTGTCCAAGTGCCTTGAACTGGATCTGGAAGCGCCTTTTATATGGATTCCCAGATGTGTCTCCAAGTGCCTTGTGGGTGGGACACCACTCGTGTTTCCTACAGGGTATCCAAGTGTCTATCGTGTCTTTCAAAGTGAGTCCCCAAGATGGAATTCAAGTATCTCCAGAGTGGGTCCCCAAGCTGGTCTCCACGTGCCGTCAAAGTACGTTTCCAAGTGGGTTTCCAAGCGCCTTTAAATTGCACACGCATCCGTGTGGATGTTCGTCTGGGCCGGCTGGGGTACATGTAATGCAGATCCTCGTGGATATCGCTATGTTGACGGCTCTTCAGAGAGTTTGGCATGTTGCTGAGTTTTTGTCCTGGATGTTTGCGGGGGGATCGTCAGAGATGCAATTCTGGAAATTGTTGGTCACGTGCCAGCTAGAGGAGGCGCAGAAGCAGCAGCAGCAGGAGGAGGAGGAGGAGGAGGTAGTTTTTCAATGCGGGCATGTTTTGGCAATCGCACGCTCTTTAGGCTACGGCACGCTGGATTGCCCGCCCCGGGCTGACCCCTTCGGTTCACGATTAGCCTCAGGTGGGGCAAGGCAGCCACGCAGCGTAGCATCGTGCTGTGCCGATAAAACGGCTGAGCGCAGCTCTGTGCAGGGGTGCCGCCTTCTCTTTCCCCCTGCCGGCCCCCAAGGAGCTCGACGGTCATGTCGCGCTGCGGTTCTGCCGCATGCCACGCGAGCGGCGCGTCGTCGTCACAGCGGACGACGTCATCAAGTCCACAGGCGGGATGGCCCGGACTCGGTGAATTACGGGCTCGGGCCCACATTAATTTACGCTGGTAGCGCTCGTTCGATGGCGCGCACAGGCAGGTAGCGCTGGGGGAGCCTTCTGAGAAGGCGGGAGGCTTCTGAGCAGCCCTGGGGGCATGTGAGAAGCCCTCTTAGCTTCTAAGAAGTCTTTGCAGAAGCCTCCGGCCCCTTCTAAGAATGCCCTTGCCTTCTAAGAATTCCTGTGCCTTCTTCAAAGACCGCCCCACCCCTGCGCCACCCCGCTGTGCTCGCCGCCGATTCGCTTCGGTTATTCAATCGCTTCGCTCATTCCGCCGGCCCATATTGTAGCATCGTTGGCACTTGCTTGCGTGCTTGGGGGGGCATTCGGGGGGCCTCCTGGGGCCGCTTTGGGGCCTCTTGGGGGCCTCCTGAGGGCCTCGTGGGGGCATCTTAGGGCCTCTTGGGGGCCTCTAGGGGCTTCTTGGGAGCCTTTCGGGATCGCCCGGGGATCCGCCGGGGATCGGACGGGGTACTTTTCGTCCGGGGACCCCCAGGGGCCACCACGCGTGCGCGAAGTAGAATATTGTTAAACGGTTACTGGAGATCTTAGCACGCCTCTGGCCCGTTGGGCCGGCGAATTTGAACTGGGCTCGGTTTCAGAGATACTGCGTCAGCTGAGCTCCTGGGTTGCCGACGCACTCCAGTGCTTGAGCAGCCCATGCCCCAGGAGCAAGCGTCATTCTTCCACGTGGCACTTGGGCTCCAGCTTGTCATCTTCGTTCTCCGTCCCCTCCTCCCTGATACTGTCAATGATTTGGTGCGTTCTGGATCCTGGCCTCGAGCCCAATGCTGAAGGGCAGTTCTCGCATCTCGGGTTTATGTCCATGACTAGCCGTATCATTTTCCAGCCCAGCTATGAAGAATATTGTGCCAACGGATTAAGATCTAGACTCTTTGCCGGACCGATCAGGCATTTCCTTCCTTTATTCGCTGCTGCGGGTCTCGACTACTTGCAGGATGTGATTACTTGTCTAGCAGCCTTCATTACATCCCGTCAAGGTGGCCGGATCGTGGACCAGATGAGCGACGCCAAAACGGGTTCGATGTCGCGGGCGTTCGTGCGTAAGTTGTCCGCTTACGTTCACGCGTAAGCGCCTTCGTTTCCACTGTAGATTCCGCGCTAGCGGCCTGCGTCATCCACCGCGTAAGGTCAGTATGTCATCTAATACCCGTTGCTTTGTCGTGTCGTTGAGATGTTCGTTCGAGGTCTCACGCGGTCGCTTGTCAGGCACCGCCTGCTCTGTATTGCAGCAGGGGCACGGCGTTTGTTGACTCCTCCCGGGCCCTCAGGGGGACCTCTGCGGAGAACGTCTGACGACTCGAGCAAATCACACTGGGTGATTGTAGTCTTCGGCGTGCGGGGGGGGAGCACGCGTCCCTCCCGAGGTTTGGGTCAGGGGCACTTCGACCCGCAGACTCGTGTAGGCTTTCAGGATCCGCCTCCTGTGCACGAACACCCACCCTGCGTGAGGCCAGATCCAGGGTGTCCGACAAATATTCCCATTTATGTTAATTAATCTGAACCCCACCCCCCCGAAATCGGACCCCCCGAATCCCGGGCTCCCAGGACCCTCTGGACCCCCCGGATCCGTGGCCCCGGGGACCCCCTGGACGCCCTTGCAGGAGGCACCCCAGGGGCTTCAGAGCTCCTGGAAGCCATTGCTCGGCCTGGGCAATTGGCACACGTCGGTCAGGAGGAGGGCGGCCGAACGCCCCCCCCCGAGGGCCCCAAGAGGCCCCAGACACCCACCAGACGCCCGAAGACGACCCAAAGAAGACCCGCAAGAGGCTTCCAAAACGCAGAGAATATTAATTTCCCAAGCTTGTTGCAATGTTTTGGAATGCCCTGTTCTTCGGTCGCCTGGGCGTCCGAGACCGCCTGGGAGGCTAGAACATTGACCCAAAACCATCCGAAAGGGCTCCCAGCCAGTCCAAGAGAGCCCCAAGATGGCACAACAGGGTTCTAAGATGGCTTAAGAGATGTATCAAGATGGTCCCAAGACACCCTTCGAAGCCTTCCGAATCGTGATACAGTCGTTCAGGGAGACCGCGGTTGGAGGCAGGGTGGCCCGAGGGCGCCCCCAGAGGCCCCCAGAAGACGCCCAGGAGGCCTCCAGAAGGCCTGAAGAACGCATGAAAAACTTCGGTGAGGCCCCAGAGGCTCTTCAAGGAGGAGATTCCGCAAAAAGAGCTGAGGAGGATGGGGAAGAATTCTAACCGCTTCGCGTAACCTCACCAGCCGTCGGCGTTTTCGCCGGCTTCAACACCGCAGCAGATCAACCTCTCTTAGCCTTCGCTTCGGCCAAGGACAATGGCTTAGTGGACGACACTCGCTTCCCCCACGGCCACGTGCGGCTCGCTCGGAGGGAAAGAGTAGACCGCGACCTGGTCCACCTCACCCCTGAAGGGCACTACTTCGGCACCTACAACACCTACCCCCCGAGTATGGCGACAACACGGCGTACAACAACTTCAAGAAGGACCTGGTGCAACGTGCGGGGGCCGTCTACGCGACACACGAAGCGGCCGTCGAGCTGAACGGCAAGATGCCAATCTGCATCCCACTCGGGATCATTGGTGAAGCCGGGCAAGCAAGCGAGGTAATTGCGGCCATGCCCATGGTACATGTCATTCGCAGTGTGGGCCACCTCGTGGTTGTCGGCGACCCCACGCAGCTCCCCCGTACCGTTCTGTCCAAGCAGGCTGCAGACCTGGGCCTCTCCCTGTCCATCTTCCAGCGTCTACATGATTCTCTCGGGTATCAACCGGGATATCAAGACAGCGCATGCATTACCCCTGCCCTCATTTTCCGCATGCGCCCGTTCCTCACGCTATTCCCTTCCAAGGCGTATTACAACCGTGAGCTGCTCAGTGGGCTCACTAACTCCCTCGCCGAATGCCCCCTGGTGCCGCGCCTCCCCTGGCCCCAAGTTGCTGACTTTGACCCCGTGCGGTGTGGATCCCTTGCCGAAGCGCTCGGGGTCAGCGTCGGCGACCTGATGAGGGACTGCGACGGGCTCCACCCACACGCCCCAAGTATGTCGGAGGACGCCCACCGTACCTTACTGGTGGACAATAGATCCTCCGAGCTGACATCACACCTCGCCGAAGGGTACGCCAACATTCCTGAGGCTGTCATAACCGTCGATCTCGTTCGGGCGTTGCTACCAGAGATGGCCAACGGCCTCTTCGTCAAGGTCATCGTCCCGTACAGGCTGCAGAAGGGAATCCTCAAGGACGGTTGGCCGCTCCCCCCCCGAGCCCTGCAAATTGCGATGAGAGACGACAAATGCACTGACGCTCCCGGCCCCGACACCCGCCCGCCCCTTTATTCCCCTGCCCCCACGGCGTGCTGCCTCACCAGGCGCTACTGGCCGCCGCCGCCGTGACGCCTCCGACACCTCCCCCCCGGCTGCCACCCCTCAACGTCGTAGCCGCTCCCCTGCTGCCTCGGTCCAGACCTCTACGCGCGCCGACGCGATGCCCACCCCCCGGAACCCCGACTACATCCCTGAGAGACAAGGCCAGGGGGCAGCCTTCGGCGCCAACGGCCTGAACCTGGAGTTCCCTGGCATCCGCCAGATCGCCCACCGGCACCTTGCCTCAGGACGGCGCGCCCTCTCCACTGTCGACGCCAGCCAGGGTGGCGAGGCCGACCTGGTCATTTTCTGCATTGCGCTGTCCAACTCCAACCACCCTCGGGGCTTCGTGGACAACCCCAACAGGGCCAACGTTGGACTTACGCGCGCCAGGCGGGGCATCGCGGTCATCGCCGACGGCCGCATGATGCCCCCCATGGCCGATTCCAGGCTACGGTTGCTCTCCAACTACGGTCGCATCGCAGGCCTCTGGGCACGATTTCTCACCCCCCCCGGCCAGGGCCCCGGCAAGCGCAGCGAGCTGCTCACCGACCCCGACTTCGACCCTATCGGCGACCTCGCCCCCCGGGTGCCGCAAGGCTCTGGCACGATCGCCGCCAACGAGACAAACGACGACAGGACTAGGGCCGCCCAGGAGGTGGCAAAGAGGAGGGGCGACCACGCCAAGAGCTTCAACGCGCAGTGCGACCTCCCCCTGGAGATCGAACAGCGCTGGGGGGGGGGGGGGGGGGGGGCCTCGGACTTCGGTTAGATGCAGCACTCGGGGAGCTCCTCACCGACCCCGCCTTCTTCTCCGTCGCCCTCTTCCCAGTGGCGGGACTGCGCCCCCGCAAGTGCAATCTCGAGGGCATCCCCTCCAACGCTTCGCAGTTTGATAGGGGGGTCTGGGGCCGCCTGGGCTACCTGTTCGACGTGGAGCTAAGACTGGGCGCTGGCAACCTGGTGTGCAACATGACCTTGGCCGCCCTGGTTTGGCCCGTCGGCCCATGCACCTCCTGGGGCAACTCCTCTCGCCAGATTCCGGGCAAAGAGCTGCCTTCGCGACCGCGGGTCCAAGGCCGGGCCGCCCGGCGACCCCGGATCAAGAACCGCGGCACCCCCCGCGACCTCCCGCACCACGTCCCCAGTGCTTGGCCCCAAGAGACTCGGACCTGCCCGCGCCACCTGGTCTACCCAGACTTCGAGACGCTCGTCGGCCTTCTGAAGGGTCACGACAGAGCCACGCAGCACCGCGTCGAGTTGCGCGACCCCAGCAACCGCCTCATGTCCACCGGGATCGAGGGCCCGGTGCGCCCTCATCATCATGCTGCTCATGAAGCGCGAACTTCGCACCCACCTGTGGCCCTTCCCTGGCCCTTCTGGGTCCGGGGATATGCTGGAAGCCGTCCTCGGTGTATGCTGCCCGCGGCAGAACGACCGCCACCTCTTCCGGTCGCAGTTCGCGTCCTGCTGGGGTCCAGCTCTCTGACCTCCGCCAGCTCCACGGAAGACTGGAGAGGCTGATTCCCTTGGCGGCCAAACTGGTGACCTCCGCCCATCGCCGCCCCACCGCGAGGGCTGCCCAATGCCCCG